AAAGCTCAGAAACTCAATTGATAGACGAGAGATTTTGCAAACCACAGAAAACAAAGTGCCAATAAGTCTGTGATGAGAAGCAGGTGATGAAGGTGGAGAACTGGAGGAGCTGGTGGTTAGTAGAGTGCTGGAGGGAGCAAGGAGTGGCAGGAGGCATGACACAATATAAACTGAGCATGTTTCAAATCACACCCAATGAAATATATTGTTGTATGTTGTCAGGCTTTTATATGAATAGAATTTATTAGGGTTGCACGATTTGAGGGAAATATCTAATATCTGCGATTTTTTGGACCAATATTGTGACTGCGATTTAAATTATTCTAATAATTTAAGGTCTCATTTATAAAAGTGCTTGAATTTCATTTTTAGTTTGATCTTGAAAAAGCAATGTTAAAATTAAATCCGTGAATAAATGTTTTGGCTGTAATATCTGCATATTAACTAAATGCTTTCCCCACTAAAAACTACAATAAAATCACAGCTTATGCAATTTTAAAATTACATGCCTTCAAATTTCAATTTCTATATTAAACGATTAATCTTTCAATAATTTGAATTTATGAGAATACGTTTCAATGCATTGCATTTTTCATATGACACACCACTGTCAATCCTATATTCACATTGGTCTGCTGTACTCTGTATATTTCTACAGGTTATTAGTATATAGCACAGTGACCCTCAGACTAATAGATCAAGGTCTATAACAAGACAACAGCAAGAGGAAAAACAATACCGCTTTATAATGCTTGTTTAAAATCACAAGTTTACTGCAAATCAAACAGCTGCAGCCGGGCACTCCCGTCTTTTCTTGGTCCTATTTTTAATGTAGCCACAGGGGGTCACTGCATGCATGCACACTTCATTACTGTTAGTACTTATTAATGAAGAACAGGCTGGTCAGTTAACCCAGGGCTGCCCAAAGTTCGCTCATAATGACAATTGATTTGATCCACCAGGAAGTTAACCTAACCCCACTCCCCTCATCCAATTAGATTTGATAGTGTTGTAGTCAAGACCACCGGAGGTGAGTCTGAGTCAAAACCAAAACCGGGACTCATCGAGTCTAAATCAAGACCAAGACTTTGTCCGAGTCAAAAGAAGTGGTAGTGGCTGAGACCGAGACAAGATCAACACCAGCTTTTTTCAGAATTTAAACCTAAAAAGAAGAAAAAGGAAAAACTCAAACATTCATTATTATTCATCATACATGACATATATTGATCAATAATATTATGTGCTACAATATATTTGTTCAAATATAACATTACATAATATTTACTGATTATCATTATATTAAAGTCTGAGTCCAACTTTGCATTGTAACTTTTGGAAACAGAGGATGGTGAGTTTCCTCTCTGTACCTTCTCTAGAACTTATTTACAATTACCATCACTAAGTCAACTGAACACAAACCAAACAACATTCATCCTTTTTTTATTATTAAATGAAAACACAGTAATGAAAACATTCTGATCTGCCCTCAAGGGATGTTTCAGTTTTGGAACCAATGAACATCAACAAACAAATAATACCAAATAATACCAGTTAAGCCATCATGGAAAAGATCAATTAGATCCTCAACCGGCAGAACAGATTCTATTTCAACATGTAGGAAAATTACTGTTTAATTCTGTTTGAAGGTTTTGCTGATGTTGTATTAAGATAGAAACACTCAAGTACTACAACACCACTATGTAATTATATCATTTGCCTTTCTAATATTTTTTCCTTATATTATTGAATATTATTTAGTAACAAAATATGCTGTAGTGTAATGTTTTAAAAAGTTCTTATGATGATCCATGACAAAGAACAAAAAAGAAAACAAGATTAGGAACTACTATGGGTGGGACGAGGCACTGAGTCTCATTTCACTTTTTCAGAAGCCTCATGAGGCTTTGTTTACCCTTAACTAGGAACTACCAATAAAAATAAAAGACTAGAAAACTTAGAAAAACAAGGTCAATCTAAAAAACAAACAGCATGTCACCATGTTATACAACCCCATTTCCAAAAAAGGGACACTGTGCAAAATGTAAATAAAAACAAAATTCAATGATGTGCAAATCATTAAAACCCTATATTACATTGAACCTAGTACAAAGACAACATATCAAATGTTAAACTGAGAAATTTTATTGTTTTTTAAAAAATAAATTCCCATTTTGAATTTGATGCCAACAACATGTTCCAAAAAAGTTGGGACGGGGCAAAAAAAGGCTGGTAAAGCTGTGTAATGCCAAAAAAACCACCTGGTAGTTAATTGGCCACAGGTCAGTAACAAGATTGGGTATAAAAAAGCATCCCAGTGAGGAGGGGTTCACCACTCTGTGAAAGGCTACACAATCAAATCAAAACATCAAAGAACTTTTGCTTTCATCATCTACAGGACATAATATCATTAAAAGATTCAGAGAATCTGGAGAACTCACTGAATGCAAGGGATAAGACCAAAAAACAGTATTTGCTAGCCATGATCTTTGGGCTCTCAGACAGCACTGTACTAAAAACAGACATGATTCTAAAGTGGAAATCACTGCATGGGCTCAGGAACACTTCTGCATCCACAAATGCAAGTTAAAACTCTAAAACGCAAACAAGAAACCAAATATAAACAGGATCCAGAAACACAGCCACCTTCTCTGGGCCTGAGCTCATTTAAAATGAACTGAGGGGAAGTGGAAAAGTGTCCTGTGGTCTGACAAGTAAAAATTGTAGTTTCTTTTGGAAAACTGTGTCTTCTGGGCTAAAGACCACTCAGCTTGTTATCAGTGCACAGTTCAAAAGCCAGTATTCATGATGGTATCGGGGTGCATTAGTGCACATGGCATGGGTGACATGCACATCAATGAAGGCGTCATTAATGCTGAATGATAGATGTTTTGGCAACATATGCTGCCATCCAGACAACGTCTTTTTCAGAGAAGGCCTTGATTATTTCAGCAAGACAATGTCAAACCACATTCTGCATGTATAACAACAGCATTGCTCTGTTTATGAGGTTGAACATATATATATATATATATATATATATATATATATATGTGTGTGTGTGTGTGTGTGTGTGTGTGTGTGTACATATACAACCTCATAAATATATATATATTACACACATAAACATATAATGTAAATCTGACGTGTAATGATATATATGTGATTTTGCAGCAAAGGCACCCAAAGCATCCGAGTCAGAGATGGATCTGTACTGGAAACAAGCTGAGTGTCTCAGCTTCAAAAAAGAACCACAGTTCTCCTACGATGGCGTAACAGGTCAGTATGGACTATTCAGGACATAATAAATGAAGAATTATATAGTAATTAACTACTAAATTTACAAATTGAAATGACAGCTTCAAAAGACAATAGTAATTAAAAACATTACATTACATTAACGTTATAGTGTTAATGGCTTTTTTCCTACTTGGCATGTTGAAAGACTAATGGAATCTTTTTTTGTTTGCATGTGAATTCTGCTTATTTTGCTTTTTCTCTTATTTCAGAATTCTGTCAAGAGGAGAAGAACAGTTCCTCTAAAGAACACACCAAACCTGAGCACAAAAACAACGAATAATGAAAATGATCTAATTGTATCTAATTGATTTTTTAAACCTGAAAATGCTGTATTTGGCTCTGCTGAGCCAGAGTGTCCTTTAACCAAATGTTATGCAATATCTGCAGCAAAGTAAACAGAGAATAATGATCAATGAGATTTAATGATTTACGGTGTATCTGGCAACACTAAGCACTGTCAACATTCATAGTTCTTGTATTTCAGTATTTAGTATGTATACTGTACTGCGTAAAGACAACTGAATAAATCTTTTCAAAGAATCAATTCTCTAAAGTGAAGCATCTTTTCATCATATTCACAGGTCACAACAATTCTTTAGGTCAACCACTTTGATTTTAACAGTTATAACAACCACACACATTAACACAGGCAATGCAGTGGCCTCTTTCTGAGGCAAGTGGTCAGAGCAAGGGCTTTATAAAACTGCTAAAGCTGGACAGTCACCACAGTTCAATGTACAATGGTCTCCCTTGTGATTGCTAAGGTATTGCTTGGTCTTTGCTATGGTATCCGAGGTGGTCGCCTAGGTGTGGCTAGGCCACTGCTTTGTTATTCCAGGTGGTTGCTAGGCCGTTTCTATGTTATTCCAGGTGGTTGCTAAGGTGTTGCTATGGTATCCAAGGTGGTTGCTAAGTTGTTGCTAGGCCATTGCTGTGGTATCCCGGGTGGTTGCTAAGGTATTGCTAGGTTGTTGCATGAAAAACTCCAAATTAGCATTTGCCTGCCTATGCAAATATCAGAATTAGATGACACACCTGAGAATATAGATAAAAACATTAAAATAGTTGAGCAGTTTTGGTTGACATGCTATCACAAGCTGAAATTTTCCATGTAACGGACAACTGAATTTTAATAGCTTTTTTTAAATACTGTTATGTTGATAAGGTGATCAGTTAATGTGCTGTGAGCCAGTGTTCCCACTAAATTTTTCTTCAGTCACTTCAGACAGCAGAGAGAGTGACTTTATAGGAGAAGAAAAACATTCTTAACTTCAATATACTTTAATGTAACAAGATTTTCTTCCATGTAATTTTGGGCTGTTTTTATTATTTCAATCATAACAAAATGGCCATATAATGTAAAGGGCAGTTGGAGTTTTCAAACAATGTAAAAAAAAAGAAAAAACAGAAAAAATCTACAGTTGTGAGTGTTTTTTATGACAGCCACTTGCTCCCATAACTAGTGTTCTGTTATTAAATGTTTCCGCCTTGCCAGTGTACACACACAAATAGAATTGTTTTGCCATATCAAATTCTAAATGGTATCATACAGCATGTCACATGCGCTTGTATACTACATACATTTTTAGATATCGTCCCAGTATAAAATAGTTAAATACCCCATAGCCTAATTCCCTGGAGTTCAGCGTGCTGACGGTGGGTCGATCTCTGGCACTGTTGCATCACTCTACAAGAGCCTCAATGGCAGTTAAAGTGCAGAGGAGGAGGACGCTCAGTATTAAACAGTATAAAGTGCAGGGGTCCTGTATTCAGGTTAGCAACAGTGTCTGAAGAGCTCTGCCCATCATGACTGTTCTAATCAGCTCCGTTCTGGTTTTTCTCAGCCTGCTGGCCGTCCACCAGGCTGCTGACCCAAATTGTGAGGATCTCATAAAGCCACGGGTGCTGGAGGATAACAATTCAGTAAGTTTATTCATTACACCAAAAGAGTTTTTGATGTAGAAGTACAGTGCTGTGGTAGCTGATTTACATACAGTTGCATGATGCAAAGGTTTGAACAAATGACATGTTGTGTTGATTTTCTAAAGCTACTACATATGTATATATGTATATATTTAAAAAATGTAAATAATGCATTTTTATGTAGATTTATTTATGCAAAATTTACATTTAAATTTATATTTAAAATGTGCCATAACGTTTGCATAGTTCACATTCTTTGTTGTTTTTTCCACAATATGTTAAATTCAAAACATACATGTTCAGTCTTCAGTCTTAGAAGTATATATAAGGGCTATAGATGAATATATATATGAATATATATAATGTTATCAATATAATCATTAATGATCATTAATGTTTTCAGTCAAAAAGGAATAAAGAGCCTAAACAGTTCTTAAACATCACTTGTTGTAGTTCTGCTCAAACCCACACTGTGCTTAGTCATTACTTTGGGCTGTGTCCTTTTGATAATGAGTGTCCTTTTTTCTCCTCAGACATGAAGACTGTAGGATTTCCTCCATGAACATAACTTTCAAAAACAGCACCTTTTATGCTTCTGGTGAGTCTGAAACGTCCCACACTGTTTCCTTCATCCTGCACTCCCATGTAAAATCAGTGTAATGGTGTAGAAAATGAGTGAGGTTTGAGCACACACTCCTTCAGTTATGGGTCTGCATTGTTAGTGCTGGAAGCTAGAACAATCTAACAAGTCATATCTATTTCTTCTACCACTTTTGTTCACATCACTGTGATTTGATGTGAAGAGTCTTACACTCAGGCTGATGTGTCTGTTTACAGTAAATAATGTAACGATAGTGATCGATTTACTGCCATCTTGTTCTGACTGCATCACCATGAGCCTCCAGAGACAGATGGAGAATATGACGATGAGGTCCCTTTTCCTCTTGAGTAAGTGACCTTGCTTCTTTCTTCAACAGAGGTTTGTTGGTCAGCTGTTCAGGGGGTTATTTTAGCTATAAACCGCTGACCAAGTCATTACCAAACCCTAAACACTGAGTACTGACAACTTGTCAAACAAACTGCTCTACTATAACCAAAAAGACTTTGAAGAACATTACAGTCACAAGTATTGAGACACATTTATTTGTATTATTTAATATACTTCCAGTGCATATATACACTTTAAATTTACACACATAATTTAAATTTGACTCTGTACTTCAAAATATGAACAGAAATAAATGTATTCATAAACATATACAAAGATATGTTTAAATAACAAAATTAACTGGAAAAAAGAAAAAATGTGTATATGTAAATGCAAACTGCATTTGCTTAAGTATGTTGTCATTGGTTGTGAAGGTACTGGGAGATATTGGTGGAGAATTGAATCTTATCAACCAAAAACATTTCAACAAGGCAACGGACCCAAATACACAGCCAAAATAACTCAGGGCTGTTGAAGCTGTAAGTGCTTGCATGGCCTAGTCAATCTGATCATGAATTCCATAAAAAATTTGTAGATGATTTTCAATTTTGATCAAACTATTGCTTTAAGCCAGTGTTTCTCAAATACTGGGCCGCAAAGCACCCTCTAGTGGTCTCTGGGCCTATACTGAAGGAGACCCAGTGGTCCTGTCTTGGCTGGTGATGACACTTTGTGTCATGAAACTCTGTAAAAAAATTGACTTAATAATAATAAATATTAAATGTTATAAATAATGTATACAATATTAACACAATACCTGAAACAACACTTTCTTACTCTGCCTACCTCAATGGACTCGTCCGCTTGTGAGGGACTGGTATAAAAGGTATGTTGCAGAAACTTTCCACTTAATTTGCCACCCTTACACTTGATTACTGGTATAAAACAAGCTCGTATCAGCCTACTCTGCTAATATTTTGTTGTGTAATGTTGTGTTACACACTGCATATCGCTGTGCTAAAATATTTCGACTACAACAGCAAACAATTCAAATAGAAAAAATGCAGAAAAAAATCTCCATTTGAAATAAAATTAGATACTGGAGAAAAAGAGCTCATCTGTGGGTCTCTTTATTCAGGATTTAATTAATGAACACATATTTTATTAACTCTTACGTTTAGATCAAGAACAGACAACAAAAGAGAAACATCTTTAACATACCTTCATTTACTTCCCAAAATTAGAATGAGAAGTTGAATTAAGTGGTTGCTATTATTGTTTTATTATTATTATTATTATTATTATTATTATTATTATTATTATTATTATTTATTAGTATTATTATTATCATTATTATTATTATTATTATTATTAGATATAATGGACTACACATGAATTTCAATCCTTTTTTCCCTGTCACCAAATTTTTATGTAGTCTTAACTGGGTCTTGTCTTCATGCTTTCTACTGATAAATAGGCGAGCCTGTAAATATAGTTGGTTAACAGGCCACTAGGTGGAAATACATACACACATTCTTCTGGTTTTGTGCTGCCTGATCATCTGACCAGATCCCAGTCAACACTTTCAACAGACCGTCAAATATCTCACTTTTGGACAGTGAAGTTATGCAGTGTTACTCTTGTGAACACAAACTTTAGGGTATCATGTCTCAATAAAGCACTAAAGACTGTATGTAATGTTGTAGCAAAGAGACCCAAAGCATCTGAGTCAGAGATGGATCTGTACTGGAAGCAAGCTGAGTGTCTCGGGTTCAAAAGAGAACCACAGTTCTCCTACGATGGTGTTACAGGTCAGTATGAACTACGACGTAAGGCTTTAAGTACAAAGATTAATATGATAACACATTCTCACAGTTATTGATTACAAATTAAAAGTTTTTCTCAGGGGCTTTTTGCTTTTTTCTAGTTTGAAGGGAATTTCTATCAGTTTGCATTTTGTATGAAGTGGGCACATGCATTGAAGCCCATTGACTTAGGATCTTGAAATACTTACTTATTTTCTTAAAATATTCAAAATAATTACTTATGTCTTAAAATATCTACTTAGAATTTCAAAATTATAATATATTTCGTTGAGATTTTTGGGGAACTATGTAGAAATAATGAGATAATAAATTTCTTTGGGATAATAAGTCATTATTTTGAGAAACTAAGTCATTGTTTTGACATAGTAAGTCAATGTTTTGAGAAAATAAGTCACTCTTTCAAGATATTAAGTCAGCATTTTCACATACTACTGCCAGAGATGTTATCTAAGTCATTAGAATCTAAGTATCTGAATTCAGGCACATCTTTTCTCTTCACAGGTCTCTGTCATGTTGACGAGAGTCATTCATCTGAAAGCCACACTAAACCGGAACCGGAAAAAAAGATGAATAAATAGTTCATCACGATTCCTCCATTCTTGTTACTTATTGATGTATCAGTAACTTTTTTGTTCTTTTTCTGAAAGTCTGTCATTAAAGGTAATTAATTGTACGAAGCAATATAGTTCTCCATACATTTTGCTAGTTTTCTCAGTGCAGCATGTGTTTATGCAAAATGATCATTTTGAGTTGATAAGGAATCTTGTGTGTAGTAGGCCTGATGTCAATACTTCAAGGCCTGGGTGGTTGGTGTCCAGCACAGTATGGTGATTTTGCTTGTCCGGCACACCTGATTCAGCCCATTCAATAATCACAGGTTTAGTAGATTCATTAGGCAGATAAACCACAAAAGTACTGGACTCTGGTCTTCCAGGATTAGATTTGGGATACCGTGCAGTGCAGCTTTGGAATAGTAATGGGAAGTGTGATTCAGTTTTAACAAACCAATTTATCTGTTTCAATTAAACAACTCATTTTTGCACAACTTTATTCTTTATTACTATTTTTTTCTTGTCTCCCTCATATATCCAGTTTTATGTGAATGTAACTGGTCAGAAAGGTCACAGACGAACGGACGAACAAACACTGTCCGTGTATAGAACTGGCCACAGGCAGCGACAGGTGAGCTAGCCTGCTAGCTTTTGTTTATGCTAGGTTAGCTTTAGCTCGCTAAGATTCTCGGACTGAAAAGTGCTGTGTGGGCGGGGCCAGAGAAGCCAGCCTTGTGACTGGTCAGGGGAATGATTACAAGTTACCCAAGATTAGTACCGCCCAGATTACATCAAGAGGAGAGAAATGTATTGGTCATTTATTGGTCACTGGAACATTATTCAAAGGGTTTACTAAGACATGTTTTTGTCAGCAAGAACAAGATGATTAAATATGAGTTAATGAAGCTATTTTGGAGCATTTCTATTAGTCCAATCATCAGCTGATGAGCTCAAACATGGACATATTTTTTCCTTTTTTTTTGTTGTTGTTGTTAATTGAACTCCTGATTATTAAAATAAAGTCGTCTCCCAGAGCTTTGAGACCTGGGTGTGGCGGTCTGCAAGGCCTGGATTTAAATAAAGGAGAAGTAGAAAGGCAGCAGCTGACAGGTAGAGGGAGGTGGAGCCGCGCTGTGAGAGGTGGCGTGTGGGAGGATGAATGGATGACATTCGTCTGATTCCTCACTTCATCAGGTCGCTTCGGCTGAACCGGTTCTGCCTCATTCGGGAGGATTTGGGTTTAAGAGCACCGACATGAGCGGAGCTGGAGCTGAAGCTGAGGCGGAGGCGCGTTTCCTGCTCTGTTTTTAAGCTGCGCTGTGGCCGGACTCTGTGTGGAGTGAGATGAGGGGGCGGTATGGCAAACTTATACCACTGACCCTCAGTCTCTGCGGGTGCGTGTTCGTACTGACCTCCTGGCGCGCGGCTCAACACGGTAAGCCCTCGTGTTCACATCACGGTCTCGCGAAACTCTACTCACTAAGTTTGTTCATACAGGCTTTACAAGTTCGCCTCATGACTTACTGCTGTCATACGAGCCTTATTACAAGACTTCGGCAGCGAGGAGCGGGTCTGAAAAAAGCTGAGTGAGAATTTGAGGCCACTTTCAGTTTCTTCTTTAAAACAAAAGACAACGCTCAGAAAAGAGGATCCAGAGAGAAACGATCGCACCAGACTGAGCCACAGCACATGGACTCAGTGCTGGACGAGGTTTTAGCTCCTCATAACGTCACAGGCTCATCGACGAATAAAACACGTTTCTAAAAGAGATTAAAAATGATGCCTTGATATATGGCAACATAATGATTTAAAATATAGGACATTCGTCACATAGTAGATAATTAATATTAGATACGTGGATTTCCCTCATAAACAACTTATATTTGTCACATATATATATATATATATATATATATATATATATATATATATATATATATATATACACACATTTCAGCCATATACAAACATATATGTGTAACACATATTTAACAATATAATGACAGAAAACAATAATAATATATGGATGGCATATATTATTTATGTATGCTAGTACCATGTTATATAATGTAAGGGTTTATTTTATTAAGTGTAAACTATTTAGATTATTTTGACTTTTGCTTTGATGTTTATACCAGATATAAATCTATCAGATTTCCCTCTGAGTTTCGCCTCCGCACCGCCATCCAAACTGAGGAGGTGGGAATCTGTAGTGTTTTAGCAGCACCGTGGCCTTTGAACCTCAAGTTTACGGCGTCTGTCGGTTGATTATTGTCGATTATTATGACCTTACTAAAGTTACAGACAGTCAGTATGCATAGATAGCTGCTTAGGGATGAGTAATATGGCTGCTATAAAAGATCACAATACTCAAAGAGATTTTCATATTGTGTTTTTAGTTTTTCTGAGGCTTACAAGCAAACCTGAAAACCACACAGCAATAGATATCAGATTAATTTGAATGCTCATTGCAAGGGATTGTGGTTACCCATGGTTCATTTTCAATAAAATAAACATTACAAGGCAGATAGGTTACTTACTTTCTGTAAGCTAAAACTAAACTAACTTTCTGTTATTTGTTTATTTGCAACACATGCATTGTAATGTAAGTAACAGGGATGTTTAAAAGTTTATTAAACTTGAAATAATAAGTTAATAGGATATGAAACACACTATTCTGTTAAAGGGGGCCTTTTATGTGCATTTTCAGTGTTCATAATTTACAACGCAATACAAACAATAAGTGATGCACCGATATGGGAATTGTGGGCTGAAACTGATGTGCGGTATTTTCCATGTACATATCTGTCAATGCCAATATACGTAGAAATTTAGCCTAGATCCACCTGGATTAGCATTACAGAGAAATATTGGGTTACAAATGCAGTAAATCTAATAAAATGTTGACATTTTAGCAGAATAACCCAACATTACCATCACCAAATATTCTGCTCTTCTGAAGTAAAATAAATGTATCTTCATTGTCCAAAGAAAAACAAGTATCTCCAAAATAGTAACTTTAAAGGAGAGGGCAAAACCCTCTTACCTTTCAGTGTAAGTTAATGTAAAGAGATTTTATTTCTAAGCGATTTTAGAGCATTTCTGTCAGTCCATTCATCATGAAACTTTCACATAACGTAAAGAACAGCAAATTTTACCAGCAGGCAAAACATTTTCACACAGTTTGACCAAGTGTCATGATCAGGTCTGCAGGCCATTCTGAAGGCCTGCGTTTATTTTGTTATTTTCAAAAAACGGGGTTATGATTTATAAGGACAATTTTGACATTATCCTATGTTAAGCAGGTCACCACATTAAGGCATCATATGTCCTGCTGGTTTCAAAGCTTTGCCTGTTAGTGGTTACAACAATTTGTCTATCAGAGTTACAAAATGAGATGTTCCCAGAGCTGCAGCTGGTGTTTTGAAATGATGTAGAAAAATTAAAATTGAAAAATAAAAACAGAAAAATAAATATCTTCAAATATTGTCAAATCTAAACTCTTCCTTCTTTAAGCAAATCTCTGCTGATACTGATATGAGTCTTATTATCAGCGTGCATCCCTACTGACGATCAATACCCAGTCATTCATAACAAGATGATCCGTAGAGAAGCACCACAATAAAAGTGATATTTGCAATAATCTCAAAAGCTGTTTATTAAAAGGTTTGAGAACTAAATAAACTATTTAAGGGAAAAAAAAGTTGGACAGCTCACACAGTTTTACATATTATTATATGTGCAATAGCTCAGCGTTCTAGAAGTACATATGGTACCTTTGATATGTTCAGAAAAGAACTGTTATGGAATTTATTATGGTAATGAAACGGCCCTAATGCACATAAAGTTCTCCAACGTTCTGTTTTCCTCCTGTGTTCTGCACGGCATAATCCCACAGTTTGAATGAACACCTTCAGTATGCAGATGTTCTGTTGCTATTTTATATAGAATTGATACTTTTCTGCCTCTGAAAATCTGTACAACCAACTTAATTATAACTTAATTTATACAGAAGACTTAGAAATTGCATACATTCAGAAGGTAAATGTACACATGTGCTCCCCAAGGCGTGTACCGCATTCACACTCCAGCATGTTTTGAAATGTGTTTAAGCTCAATTAAGTCATTAAAAGATTTTTGTTGGTGAACTAACTGTAACACCTTCCTTATGTAGCAATTTCTGGATTGCAAAGCAGTGTGAAAAGCAGCTCTGGAAACATCTAATCCTGTAACTCTGATAGACAAATCGTTGTTACCACTAACAAGCAAAGCTCTGAAACCAGCTGGAAATGTGATACCTTAGTGTGGTGACCTGCTTAGCATAAGATATAGTCAAAATTATCCTCATAAATCATAAACCCAGTTATGCAAAGAACAAAATAAACACAGGCCTTCAGAATTGCCTGCAGTCCTGATCATGACACTTGGTCAAACTGTGTGAAAATGTTTTGCCTGCTTGTAAAATTTGCACAAAACAAGGAAAGATGATCTGTATCTGGGTAGACTAATAAACTATGTATATCTTATCAAATATGTAATATAAAATGTATGTCAGATGTTCGATGTGTACTAAGTGCTGATTATACATGTTCAGTGTAGATAATTTCCTAGTTCTGTGTATGGATAAGGCACATTTACCTTGGGTGATAACAGTGCTGCGCACAGTATTAATGCTGTGAATAGCTCTTCAGCTCCTGCTCTGTTGTTTCAGCTTTGAAAAAAAAAATGAGGAAAAGATTTGCATTGAAATACTATATCATATCCATACCATTGAGCTTTAGAACATGGCAGAACTGTATCTGAGTTTGATCTGGTTCTACGGTTTAGAAACGAGAGAAGGGGAACTCCGAAAGGTCTATGAGAGGCTGGTGAAAGCAGAGCAACGTGGAGAGGCCTTGTCAGTCAAACTGCTGCAAGTGCTGGAGGACCTGCAGAACTTGACCATCGCTAGTAATAATGTCACTTCCAACAACTCCTCAGGTAAATCTACCAGTACATTGACGCATGTACATTAATGATTTTACACCAAAGCATCCCCTCCCACTAACTCATTCACACTCTCATATGTCTCCCTCCAGTTAAATGGCCAGAAACGAGTGCCATTTTGCGCTTTTTGCCTGTACAGCCCAATGCACTCCTGTACCTGCCTCACCTGAGAGAGCACCAAGACAGCCTGAAGCCCATTGTTCACCTGGGCCAGAGACGCAGTGGAGGTCAGTATCTGTCTCTCTCTGTCTCATCCAGTGGTGACAAGCCTATGCTATGGGCTGAAGCCTGAACTTAAAGTTATTTCCATTGGTAATCCTCCACAAAACCAGCACTGTATGGCCAAAAGTTTGTAGAGACTAGTGTTTCTTCTGAAATCAAGGGTATTATTAGGGAGTTTCTCCCAGTTTGCCACGGTAAACCCATCTGCTCTTCTGGGAAGGCTTTACACTAGATGTTGGAACATTGCTGTGATGGTTTGACTGCATTTAGCCACAAGAGCATTAGTGAGGTCAGGTACTGATGTTGGATGATTAGTTCTGGGTCATTCCAACTCATCTCAAAGGTATTGGATGGAGCTCTATCACTGCAGAGAATGCAGTTCCACTGCTCCACAGCCCAATGCTGGAGGGCTTTATACCCTTTGGCATTGGTGACCTTAGGTTCAGCATCTTGGTCTATTAGTCATTGCTTTTCTATGAAGATAATGAACACCTGTGTCAGCAATGGGTGTATCCTAAAGTTGCTGAATTCACTATTTGGAAGGGGTGTGTTGATACTTTTGGACATACAGCCATGCACTTAGCTAGCCATATAAGTACAAAGCACCCTTTTTTTTGGTTAGTAAATGTCAAATGCATACAGCATCTATGCCTACATATCCCATAGACCCCTGGTTTGACATGCTTTAGCTGCTTAGGTGGTTGATGCTTTTTTGATTGGAGCTTAGATTGTGCTTTGGCTGCCTTAGATTTACCTCAGCTCTTGAGTTAAAGCAAAGTGACTACCAGGAGTGGGGTTTGAACCCACATGGGCACTTGCCTATTGGATCTTAAGTCCAACACCTTAACCACTCAGCCATCCTGGTTTGTGGGTATTAATTTTAGCAATCAAATTGGTGCTTCTTTGATAGGAGCTTGGCCTCAAATTAGGTGTCACTTTGTATATGTAGTACCACCACACTAAAACCAGCAGTTCATTTTCAGTCATCGTGTGGAACATGTTCCCTTAAGAAAGGATTAAACGCATTGGTCAGAGGCCAGCCAAAGTACCAGGAGTGGGGTTCGAACCCACGAGAGCATGTGCTCATTGGATCTTAAGTCCGACGCCTTAACCACTCGGCCATCCTGGTGTCAGGCATGTTGTTTATTCAGTTAAATTTGCATATAACGACTGAAGGGGTGTAGCTTATCTCCAGTGATCAAATTTGAATCTTTTTGATATGGAATATTTTCTTAAGAATACATTTCTTAAACTTAGGAGTAATAGTTCTTTGGCTTTTATGGTTTTTGACTCTTGTGACATGTTCCTTGAGAATGACGCTGTGATATGAGATCAGGACCTTTTTGTCCATATCTCTATTCTATCCCTCCAGTCACGGTGATGGTCTGTGGTACAGGAGTTGGAACTGGGTATGTTCATCATCGTAAACTGGGTGAAAGATGACCATTCGTGAACCTTCATGGCCTTGGGCCTGACTGAGAGCGACTCTTGCTGATGCACGTTTGAGACACTGTCTTTGTTGACTGAATCTCACCAATGACACAGTGTTTGGTTATGTTTCAGAAACAGTGCAAGTGTGCGTTATAGCAGTTTTGATTTGTAATGATGAGTCAGCTGTTGTATATGTAACTCGTCTATTTTACATGTAATTTCCATAAATCCATAACTGCTTTGACCACGTCTGTGTTAGACGGGGGCGAGAGCACCCACAGGTGCAGGTGCAGACAATCTACATATAGTTCTCATCTCCTGTCACAGTGTTCTTCTCAAGGAACATGCCACAAAACTCACAGAGACATAAAACCCAAAGAACTACATTCCTAAGTGTAAGAAATATATTTGTAAGAAAAATATTCCAATTAAAAAAAAAGTATTTGATTGTGGTAGATAATATACAAGTCTTCATTTTCAGCCAGTGTGTTCAAAAACATGTTCCCTTATTTGGTTCTTAACCTTGTTTAACCTCATGCAGTCTTATAATAAGATTTGCCATCGGAATATGGTGGGAGTTTAGTTTACCAAGCACTAGCTTAATTGGAGGTTTATGGGGCAGTCTCCTTCTGTGCTGACTTACATCACAATCATGAGGCAACAACAGAATGGTCTGTCTGAGATTGTTGACAACCGTAAGCCCTTTATTCTGAGCTCCACCTTCACAAGGTGTTAATTTGGTTGAGAAATTTCACTCTCAGTTCACACCTTAAAAAGTCTACCACCCAAATTTAGCCCAAAACAGTTGAGCGTTGGTCCATTGGATCAGCATTTGGTAGGGGTGCCTTGGATTTACCTCAACTCTTGAGTTAAAGCAAAGTGACCACCACAAGTTTGGACCCATGCGGGCACTTACCTTTTGGAGCTTAGTCCAATGCCTCAACTGCTCAGCCACCCTGGTGTGTAGTTGTTGATTTCATCAGTTAAGTTGGTGCTTCATTGATAGGATCTTGGCCTCAAGTTAGGAGTAAGGTTATATGTGTATATATTTTAGTCCTTGAGTTGAACATGCTCCCTCATTTGTTTCTTAAACTCAGTGTTCAGAGGTCACTAAAGTACCAGGAGTGGGGATCGAACCCACGTGAGCATGTGCTCATTGGATCTTAAGTCCAACGCCTTAACCACTCGGCCATCCTGGTATTAGTACCTTTTGGATAAGCGCAAGCCCTCTACTCTGTGCTCTGCCTTCACGAGGCGTTAGATTGGTTTATAAATTTATCTCTCAGTTTGTTCACACCCTAAAAAAGTCTACATTCCCACCCAAAAAAGGCTGAGCGTTAGTCAACTGGAGAAGCATTTTACTCATTGGCTCTTAAGTTGAACTCCTTAACTGCTCAGCCTTCCTAGTTAAGCCTTTCATTTTTAAAAAGGTCAGTACTGAAGGTTTCGGTGTCAGAGAAGAAAAGTGGTGCTGTGCCACCTCTGGTCTAAATAAATGTCCTGCTTTCCTTTATTGACATGCATTTGCCTCAACACATCTGATGAAAACATACCCAACTTTAATTCTCTTTGTTGCAATGTAAACAAATGATTGTGGTCATCTTAAATAATCGTGATCTGCTCGAGTAATTGTGATGGGCTTAATCCTGGTACTCTCCCAACAGTGGTGGACAGTAATGAAGTAAATGTAATTAATTACTGTACCTAAGTAGTTTTTTGTGTATCTGTACTTTACTGAAGTATTTCCATTTGGGGTGACTTTTTACTTTCACTCCACTACATTTCAAAGTCAGATATCTTACTTTTTACTCCACTACATTATGCGAAATCTGTCGTTCCTTTTGGCTCATGTGTGCATAAAAACGTAACATGTCAAAATGAAAGAAGCGTGAAGCAAATACACCAATCAGGGCACAGCATGCACTTTGTTTTGAGCTTGTTGTGACCTGTTGGACATGCCGACCCAGTGCAAGCATACAGTTCAATGACAGTGTAAAAGTTTGGGATGGCTATTCTTACATCAATGATGGAAGAAACTCCTGACTCTAACCAAACTTTGTCTAAATAGACCACAATATAGAAATATGTCCACATATGCAGTTGTGACTGGCCTGTTTCTTTTTTCTGAATTTATACAAACACTATTTCATTTTATAGTAAATTAGTTTTGGCTAGTTTATGTTTATGAACAGAGACGTACAGATGCAGTTTAGTAAAGGAAAACTCATTTGTGGACCTGAGTTTAAAGCAAGTCTTTATTAAACTTAAACTTGTTTAAGTTTAATAAATTTTTTTATTTAGTTTTTTTATTTAAACTAAGTTGTAAATAAATCTTAAACCGAAACTTTGCTTGTTTGCAAAAGGTTATTTCAGAGCCACTCAGGTCTACCTAATGGAAATTGTTTGCTATCAGTGTTTTGTGCTGTTGATAGGTTTAATAGACATCAGCATCAGACTAATTAATGACATTCTATTAAAAGATTGGTTTACCAAGAGTAACACTACAGTATTTTCACCTAAAATGAGTTGATAAAGCAAGAGTCTTGTTACGAAAATGATAATAGGACATTAAAGTCATAATTAGTCTTTCACTTTTGATACTTTTGTACTTTTACTCAAGTGGAGGTCTAAAGTAAGGAACCTCTACTGGAGTAATATTTTACCTTGGGTATCTCTACTTTAACTCAAGTACATGGTTTGTGTACTTCGGCCACCACTGTCTCCCGAATGCTAATCTAGTCTGTATGTGTGTGTATGAATGGCTGTTCAGTATCTCTAGTGCTCGGCGTACCCACAGTGCGCAGACAGAAGCAGAGTTACCTGGTGAACACAGTGAGCTCTCTTATCTTTGACCTCACACCAGAACAGAAGAATGACGTCGTCATCGTCGTCTTTGTTGCCGAGGTAAGCCTAAATTTTACATTTTCTTTCTTACATTTCTCCTTTTTCTTATTACATGCAGCTTGTGACTCATCAAAAAGATATTCAAATAAAAGATAATTGCATTGATAAGTGCATTAAAATATATCTACTAAGATTCCACTGAGAAAAATGGTTTCTTTTCTTATAGCATTTCAAGAATGTAACACTTTTGTTTGCAGCACTCTAATACTTGCAGAGTTTAAATACCAGCATAATTATATTTAATAAAGATAAGCCAAAAACAAGCATGTCTTTTCAAATTCCTGGAAAACATTAGGCCTTCCCTAGAAGGCCTAACAGCTCTTGTCTTTACTGCAAATCAAGCCTTTAGCGGCCTACAATATTTATTTCAGATAAATAAAATACAATGAATACAATAAAATATATTTTAATATTGCCAGTGAAACATTTTGACAGTTTTAAACTAGCATGGCACATTGACAAGCTGGAGCTTGTCTCAGTATTGCTAGTTTAACTGGAAATCAGGGCATCTCTGTCATGTTTGAAATACTACGGCATTGATTCTGTAAAGACAACATGAATTTTTTCCCTCCAATCTGATAAAGTTAAAGGAAAAGAAAAGCGCAGATGCCCACGCACATGTAAAAACAGTTTCTGTTTTAACCACCAACTGGGTTTTCAGGCCCAACCCACTTGCACTTCATAGTTTACAGAGGGTGTTTGTTTCTGCAGCATGGGCACTCCTGACACTTTCGTCCAGCTGGGGTCAAAAGGCCTTTTGCATGCACAGCAAAATCCCTAGTGCTGAATTAAATCTTATAGTGTTCTCTTCTGTCTGGCTACAAGTAAATGAGTTTAAATTAATGTTCGTTCAACACTGTAGGTGATAATTAAACACTGGGGGTTTACTGCAGAAGAATAACAGGCTAATGTGTCCCAGGAGAATCTTGTTCTTTCAGTATAAGTTTGTGCAGTGATGGTGTGAAACATCCGCCTGCATTACGCTCAAGGCCTATGAAAGTTGTCCGTTAGAGGCGGCAAAAATGATCCCCTGAAAGATTCGGCATCGATGCGCTAAATGTCATAATTGGACTTAAGCTAGTAAATGTTTTTTGAGACTTCAGTGTAGATGCAAACATTACAGATGCGGTCATATGCGAAGGTTTTGTTGATTTTCTAAATGAAAATTTCTACACAGAATAAACTAAAATGTGGTGTTTTTCTGCACAATTTCTATCTATTTGCTGAGATTAAGATATTGGAAAAAAATAAAACAAAAAAATGTATAAAATAAAACATACAATATAAATAATGTTCCATAACCTTTGCACAGGCTACTATTTATTTATTTAGGTTTTATTTTGTTTTCCATGAAATTAAATTCAACAAACAAACAGTAACCGTGCATTGAAATGTACTGGAGTGTGTTCTCTATACAGGACGTGCAACTTATTTTCACTTAGAAGCTCAACATCTTACCAGGGGCACCCAAACTTTTGCATACAACTGTTCTCACCTTGTCTTTGACTAACAATAAACTAAATATCTATTACATGTGACTGAATTTTAAGATGAATTGAGCAAATGCTATTAAATCTAACACTAAACCTGAAAGTCTAAGCTTAACTCCTAAAACTTGAATGTAATCCTAAACCTAATTCTGAACCTAATCCTAACTTTAACTTTTACCTAAAACCTAAACCTAATCCTAACTTTAACTTTCACCTAAAACCTAAACTTAATCTTAAAACTGACCTTGACTGTAACACTGAAAAGAAAGATATAATAAAACAAACAATTTAATTTTGGAAGTTTGGAATCACTCCTCATATTAGTAATTGCAATAATGAGATATTTGGAAACATTAAAAAGTTAGAAATGACAAATAATATACTTAAATGATTATTATCTACAATAATTTGTTGATTAGTCATTTGATCAGATTTGATCACCATGTTTTAAATACTAGGCATTCTGGAAATTAAGTTTATTTTAATTTTATTCTCAATGGGCCTCGTTCACCAATATCTTTCTAAGTTTTGTATTAAATGTGTTCTTAAAAAAAGGTCCTAAAAAAAAGTCTGCATCAGATTCATGACGTGTTCTTAAACCGCAGAACTATTCACACCTTTGTGCTCTTGAGTGTGTGTAGATCCTGTTCCCACCTAAGAACAAATCACAAATAAGAAAACACTGGTGAATGCCAGAATCTTTGTGAAAACATTGTCCTCGGAGGTCGACTGATCACATTTGTCTGGTTTTGTGTATCAAAAATGGTAATAACTATTTTTTCATCCCTTAGAATTAAACTATTTTTGATACAGAGCCTTTAAGACTGGTGCATGTAAATGAGTTCTGTTCTCCTCACTTCCTATAATTTCAGCCTGAGTAAGCGCAGCTAAACTGCTGTAGGTTGAATAGGTGGATATACTAAATGTAAATGTTTTGGTCTTTTTGGCATCACAGATATGGTGCCGGCTAATACATGAAACTCATATTTAAAGAAAGTGAGGAAAATTCAGTTTTACTCAATATGGGCCCTTTAACTGGGCCAAAGTTTTTATGGCATCGCTCCATCGACACCTTTATTTTTATGTCAAGTTGCATGTTTTAGCAAGTGTTTTAATGCAGTGGATCTATTTTTTCATTGCCTCCGAGATCTCGCATGTGAAAAGCTATGATCCCTCCGTCCCTTTAGCTGAATATTTCCTATCTACTAATGTTTTCCTCTTTCTTTCTTTATTCCTTTCCTGTTTTTGTATCTCTCAGTCACAGGCCTCTTTTCTTTTCCCCTTCACAGACTGACGATGTGTTTGTGAGCAGCGTGGCAGAGAGCATTCAAAAGAGGTGAGTGATGGTTTCTCTTTTAAAATTATTTTTAATGTTTTTAATATCGAAGCATATTCGCATTACTCACATATCAGTTTCACAGTATGTTGCTGGATGATTAACAGCAATTTGTGAAAGTTTCACAATAATAATAACTGATTAATAAATGTAGATGGTGATTAATAGTGATCCCATTGGATATTACAGTGATTTTCTGTGTAATGAACAATGTTTTACAGGTGACCTCCACCATTTCTGCATGATTAAATGGTTAACATGTCAACAAAATCAGTCAGAGTGCTTTGTTGTAAAATGCTCTGCTCTGGATAAACTTGCAATGTCACACTTGTTCACAGTGGTGGTGGTAGGAGCCAGACGTCTGAGGGATTTAACACCTCTGAAAGCTTCTTCACAGAAAGTGGAAGACATGAAATGCTTTTGAATACTCTGCCTGATGTCTCAGACTTTGTTGTACAGTTTTTTTGATAAAGTTTTAGTCCAAAATGTATTTTGATCAGTTTATTTTAATCAATTCATGAAGGATGCATGAAGGATGTTTAAGGCAAAATAGTCCCATCACCAATCATCAGCGTTACATATACAAACTCAGAAGACACATGTAGCTTCACTGGTGGTTTTGGATAGTAAATAAAATGGCTATATTTGCATTGTCAAATTCAAGACTCTTGGTTCATATCACCACCACTGTAAAGAAGTCTGAGTCAGGAAGTTTCTCTGCAAATGAACCATTTCACATCAAACCAATCTCAATAACTTTGTTTATATATTAACCACTGAATTATACAGAAATGTTAAAAAATCGGTGGAATGTCCCTTCACATCTGAGTACTAGTCTTTCATTTATGGCCTACTTGGTAACTGTGCTTGCGGGTTTGCTGTTTTGCTGCCAAATGCAGTGAGCAAGGCTGTTCGACTCATGGCAAAGCTGAAGTCAGAAGGAAGTAAGCTGAGAGGGAAATCATGAGACAAACAGCCATGACATCAAATAGTACAAACACCACACTGAACTACAGGATGTGTGTGTGGTAATGACTGTTAGTGTAATGAATCAAAATGTCAGTATCTTCAAAGCTAAAACATAATAAACAATATAATCTTCTCAATGACTTTGTAGTCTGAGGCTCATGAAATTGTACATGCTAATTTGACTCTAAATGTGCCAGTGATATAAAGAGTAGAGAAGCACAATGAGCTAAAATGACAGGCGTACATTTTTTAGTTTTTGTAAATATTAAGGGACTTACATCATAAAAAAACAAATCTCCCTTTTTTAAAATTAATGCTTGATGCAAAACGTACACAGTGTTTTATTTTCAAAACGTACCGTTCACTCCACACTAAATACATGCAAACAAGCACCAAAAAATTTAGGCAGATGGTTTGTGATGTTACGAAAACCGACACATTTACATATATCCACATATTCAGCCTACAGCTGTTTAACAGTTTAGCTCCACCCATTCACGCTGAAGTGATGAGGAGTGTTTCAGTCCAGAATGCTTTTTATATATATATATATATATACATAATATATAAAACCAAACAAATGGAATAAGTGGACCTAGTAAAATAAAAGGGAAGTGTGGCATATGGGCCCTTTGACCTGTCCATGGAAGTTTTGCACTTTATCTTAGAGAAGAAGTTTTGGAATTTTCTCTTTGAAAAAAGGAGCGAGAACCTGACGAAGGGACCTGACACACTGCAGAAACAGCAGGCTTATCAAATGTCGGTAGGGATAAATCTGTTATGAGGAACAGACACTAATCCTTTGTGTACTAACAACCATTGTCCTGGAGAGCGTCATGGTGTCAGAGAGTTTGTATGAGTGAGGCAGTAGAGACGGGGCAGATAGCAGAGCAGACAGTTACAAACTTTGTGTGTCTGTCTTCTGCTCTTCCTCTGACTTTTTTCTTGCTCAGTGTTTATTTAACCATAAAGTCTTTGTACTTACAAGCCTTTAGAGCTGCATTTCACTGTTGTCGGAAGAAACCTTGTATCTCCAAAATGGTTACTTTACAGGAGAAGGAAAAAACCTACTTTACTTTAAATGTAAGTCAATGGAAACAGACTTTTTTCCAAGTCTTTTTGGGTCGTTTCTTTTAGTCCATTCATCATAAAATTTAAATACCATGTAAGGGGGAACAGGTATTTTCAAATTATGTCAAAAATTGAAAAACGTCAAAAATAGAGATGCAAGGTTTTCTTCCGAAAGCAGCGATTTATGCCTGTATGTTTAATTGATGTTGATATACACGTTTATACACCAATGCATATACAACTATTAACAAATCTGATTGTTACAGTGTATAGTTACTCAGTTCTTCCACTGGATGTTTCATATTTGTTTCATTTATGCAATTTTACTTATTTTCCTACTGCACATTATTTTTATGGTTGTTTAGTGTATTTTATTATATATCTTGTTTTGTTCTTTACTGTACTTTGTTCTGCTGTAATAGACGACTTTCCCTCTGTGATTAATAAAGTGATCTATCTATCTATCTATCTATCTATCTATCTATATCTGTGCCTGTATAGTTTCCCCGATGATGTGAAGTCGGGCCTGATTGAAGTCATCTCCCCCTCCCCCTACTACTACCCAGACTTCACCAACCTGAAGGAAACCTTCGGCGACACGAAAGAGAGAGTCAAGTGAGCTTTTCTCACTTCTTTTTGCACAAGTGCCAACGTTTGCTTTGTGTTTGCTTATGAGAAAGTTGTGTTTGCCAGAAATGTGTACTTAAAATAAAAATGTGTACTTACCTTCTTATGATTCCAGATGGAGGACCAAGCAAAACCTGGACTACAGTTTCCTTATGCTGTATGCTCAACATAAGGGCACGTATTACGTTCAGGTAAGAACCTAACCCTTTGTTGGGTTTATGTTATTCTGAGCAATCAATACCGAAACCTGTATAAGCTGTGTGTGTGCACAGTTGAACACCTGTGTCAGCAGGTGCACCTGAAAGCAGCTGAAATCACTAAAAGGGGTGTCTGGGTATCTTTGGACATATCATGCATCTGTGTGATTTCCCACACTTGGCCTAGATTGAAAGATCATAGCCTGGATATTCACGTCAGCGTTAAGCCAAAGTACACACAGAGTGGAAATAACAACTCATCACACGGCCGTGTGAATTAGCAGGTTGTGTTACTCCATTAGACTGCAGTTGATTGGAAGGACTGCTATTACTGAGGGTTAAGCTAATTTCAGGAGACTCGTTGTTCTCGCAACGATTAATACTGTCACACTGTAAAACTGCACGTTTCAGATTCATACTGGATTAAAATCCCCACAAGTAACACTAATCCAGTTCCAATGTAGTTTATTATGCAGGTTATGTAGTTTTGTGCATTTAAGTTGAAGTTTAGATCCACATACAGGCTCTTATGGTTTTTAACTAGCTCTGCAGTTTATTTGTCACGTTTACTGTGTTTGTGTTTGTATTTGTTTCAGCTGGAGGATGATATTGTGGCAAAGTCAGGATACTCTGAAACTATAAAGGGCTACGTCCAACAGGTGATCACAGAGCGGTGGCTCTACCTGGAGTTTTCACAACTGGGATTTATTGGTAGGTCTTCTCTTCTCTTCTCTTCTCTTCTCTTCTCTTCTCTTCTCTTATTTTCTCTTTTCTTTTCTTCCTTTCTCTTCTCTTCATTCATTTTCATCTTTTCACTTCATTTCTTTTCTCTCATCTTTTTCTCCTTTTTCCTTTCTCTTCTCTTCTCTCCTCCCCTCTCCTCTTCTCTTCTCTTTTCTTTTAATCTGTTTTTTTCTTTTCCACCTTCTCTTCCCTTTTATATTTCTTCCCTTCTGTTCTGTTCTCTTCATTTCTGCCTTCTCTCAGCTTCTCTTCTCTTTCATTTTCATCTTTTTCTTTTCTTTTCTTTTCTCTTATCCTCTCTCCTCGTTTCCTTTTTCCTCTCTTCTCCTCTGTCTTCTGTCATCTGTTCTCTTCTCTTCTGCTCTCTTCTGTCTTCAGTTCTGTTCTCTTTTCTTGTTGCTTCTCTTCTCTTTCATTTTCATCTTTTCTCTTCATTTCTCTAATCCTCTCTCCTCTTTCATTTCTTCTCTCTTCTGTCCTCTGTTCTCTTCACTTTTCTTCTCACTTCTTTCTCTCATCTTCTCTCTTCTTTCTTTTCTCTTTTCTTTTCTGTCTTTCTCTTTCCTTCACATCTGTTTTTTTTCTCTCTTCTCTTTTCTTCCTGCCCTCTCTTCACCTCTCTTCTCCTCACTGCATCCAGTCTTCACAACTTCAGACACTTCACTGATAAAACTCCACAAAGCTATGTGCAGACAGTAGTCTTATCAATCTCATCAGATCACAACTCTCCAGGCTTTTTGTAAGCAAGACACAGTCATGATTAAAAGTATGTCTCTCTTTGGCTGCTGGTCATTATATCCGTCGTTATGGTATTAGAGGTGTGTTTGGGTCTGAGTAAAACCTGGAACAGAACGCCTTTGTCTCTGTAGCTCTCGGGTGTCCTGGAACTTTCAGATTATAGATGAAGTAGCGTCAACAGTCACAATAGCACTCAGTTCCATTCCACCCAGTTTTCACAAAGCAGGGGTGTTAAACAGCAAACCAGAGTAAGCCGACACCTCAGACGAAATCTTCTGTTATTTACTCGCAAAGAAGACCCTATGCAAAGGAACAGATCGCTCACCCACCCACGCATTCACTCTCACTTACACCCAGTGATACTCAAATTAGAGCAGCAGACTTCCTGTAATGAATAGAAAATAGACAAACCCGGCTGATACGTGTGATCCAGGCTTTGCAAAGAGCTGTAACTGTCTCATGGTTCTTTTTCCCTCATATTATCATCTGTTGATGTTTGTGTTTTGTTTTGTTTTTCTTTTTTTCAGGTAAGCTTTTCCGAGCTTCAGATTTACCCAGGATTGTGGAGTTTATTCTGATGTTCCACAAAGACAAGCCCATTGACTGGCTGCTGGATCACATCCTCTGGGTCAAAGTGTGTAACCCAGAGAGGGATGCTGTAAGATGATATTCTTACTAGGTTCTACTTCTAGTTCTGATACCAAAAGGAATAAATGGGAGATCATTAGTTTCAACAGCATTTAGTCAGATAAACAAAACCAGATGTCTTGATCTATGTTTACTTCTAAACTTCTAAACTTTCCAGTTTGACGTCCAGTAAAGTTCTATTCTATTCTATAATATTCTATTTAAAAGACCCCCCACAATCATCTTTATAGCATTATTTTAATGGCCCATGACTTAACAACTTCCCATTTCCCCATCATTAAGTACAAGTTATTCATTTTTCAACATCAGGAAAAAAGCAGATTTAACTGCTTCTTAGCAAACATTAACAGAAAATAACCAGAAGCCTCAGCAACAATGTTTCAGTATTCAGTGTGTCCACTCTGCCTTTAATACAGCTTCCATTCTCTTTAGCATACTTGCTTTCGGTTTGTCAAAGAAATCTGCAGAGATAGTTTTCCACACCTCCAAAGTTCAGTCTTAGAAGTTGGTTTCATTTCCTGCTTCTCCCGATCCAAGTAATCCCAAACACATTCGTTGATGTTGAGGTCTGGACTCAGGGGTGGTCAGTCTGTTGTTCCAGCACCTGCAGGTTCTTTGATTGATTTGCAGATGTTCTCTGTCTCCTTTTCTCAGTGAGGGCCTCTTGTCAGCTACACATCCTTTCAGACCCATAGTGCTGAGTTGTCTTCTCACAGTGGAAGGATGGACAGAAATGGACAGTGGAATTTATCAGATCTGAAGCAGCTTGATTTTCTCCTCTCTCTCTCAAAGTGAGACGGCCGCAAAACAACATAATAAAGCACATTTCAGTGAAAGTTGTGGTTGTAGTATATCGTCATTGCTAACGTAGTAAAGAACAGAATTGTGAATGTCACACGAACTTTACCATCTGAGAGTTTGTGGCCGCTTAGCTGAGCCCTTTGCTTTCTTTTCTGGAAGCCATTTCACCTGAGGCGGTTTCACACGATTGTTTCGTCTGATGAACTGAGTGTGTTTTTATCGTGTGGTTTTCCTGAGGCTAAAGAAGTTTTTCAGTCTGAAACCCGACGCTGTGGTGTGGCAATGACCTAAAATGTATGGAACATCATCACAGCATGGTATGCAGCACAGAGCGCGTTTGACCAGCGCAGCTGCATTTCTAGCATGTTAGGTACATGTGGCATGAATGTAAGGATGTCACCCACTGTTTGAAAGTATAGTTATGTTTTCATGTTCAAATACTGCTGTGTTGTTATGGTTTGCATGAAATAAAGTCAATAAATTTACTTATTAATAAAGACTTTTTTTAACTGGCGGTAATTGAGCTTTAATCATTGCAGGGGCTGATACTGCAGTTGCTCCATTAACCGTCACCAGGCACAGGCCTACTTTAAACACTGTTTATGTGATGGGGACAGTTTTGATGGTCTACCAGGTCTTGCAGGTGGTTGTTAGGAGTCCCGTTTTCTCTGTGGCTTTTAATATTTTTTCAAAATTCATTTTTAAAACGTGTTTTTTAATTTCCACAATAGCCAGAGGTCTGTGGACCACTGCTGGTCCGCTGGTGGCAAAGCTAGCGGTACACTGGGGTTTTGCTCAGCATTTTCCAGGCGACCCACAGGAGGTTAAGCAGAGTAATAAACAAAATTCCAATTATCCTCACTCAATTTCCACTCACAGTCCAATTTACTTATTTTTCCTTTCTTCCTTTCTTCAGTTATACTTTGTAAATTAGTTTAGTAAATAATTTTAATCTAGCACAGTGTCAGTAACAGCATTTTCTATAAAATCATTTTATGTTATATTATTCTAGTCATTATTTTTTCTCAGTAGTTTGTAATATTTGTCTTAGTTTATTTTCTAAAATAAAAGTCTCTGTGCTTTTAAAATCTGTTTGAGGAGATTAAAACTAGTGCGAGCTTGTATGCAGGACAATAATCTGGGTGGTCTGAGGGTGGACCAGCAGTGGCAAACAGTCAGTGGGATGCCAACCTTATCAAGCCAGCGGACCGATATATGCTCACTATCTGGGTTCTTTTCCTCTCGCTCTCTTATTTTTTATGCAAATGAATTATCTTGAATCTAATCTCCTCATAAGTCTGAATAACTTGTACTTAATGGCCATTACAACTAGAAATTAAACAAATGAAGAGTGGTCTCTGTATGCGTTTTCACTAGGGTCTATAAAAGGATTTAAATAATAATATCTATAATCATATAATACGCTGTTTATAGGTATGACTGAATGCAGTTTAATAAATGGTCGTGGTGAACTGGTAAGTATTGTTTCGTGCTGGAGCCTGTAGGTTTATCAGTTTGATCTGTTCACAGAAACACTGCAGTAACGAGAAGGCCAAACTAAAGCGCACCTTCAAACCCTCTCAGTTTCAGCACGTGGGTCTGCACTCCTCCCTGCCTGGCAAAATACAGAACCTCAAAGTTAGTAAAGTTTTTCTTCTCTTAAACCTATTTTTTGGTCATTTCCTAGTGAGTCATTATCACATATTGTGAAAAAGCTTAGCAAATTACTCAGAGTTTGAATCATGTTTTGGTCATTCCGGTTCTGCGGGTGTGTTTTCTGTGCGTTGTGCAGGACAAAGACTTTGGGAAGCAAATTCTGTTCAAGGCCCACTCCAACCCTGCTGCTGTTTTGAGCACCAGTCTGAAGGATTATCAGGGTCACTCCTTGGACAAGGCTTACCGGGGACAAGACTTCTTCTGGGGTCTCACTCCTACCAAAGGAGATCATGTTCTCATCACCTTCACCCAGCCTCAGACCATCAAAGGGTGAGAGTAGACTCCTGCACTTAAAGCCATGGCTTGGACCAAATCTGATTCACAGAATTTCCCCATTCCATAAATTTAGTTAGTCAGTGAAGACCTGTTTTTATCTCCAGGAAGTTTGCGTCTTAAGTTTCGTTGTGAGGCTATCTATAGAAGTAATAGAAGCTTATAATTTTGTTTAGTATTGTCCAGTTATTAAGTATTTTCCGACAGACTGGACAAAAAACAGGCAAATGTATGTTGTTTAGATTAAAAACAACAGTGGAATTTATCTTGAACTCGGATTTTGGCTCTACTTCTGTCAGTTTTTATGCAGTCATATGCAAAAGTTTGGTCAAATTACATGCTTTACTGATTTTCTAAGTGAAACTAAGGCACAGATTCTCTACAGGTACCAAACATCTGCACATTTTAATGCACAACTGCTGTTTATTTTCTGAATTCAGGAAAACCACATAAGCAAATCTATTTGTTATCTACATTAGTTTTTTAGCACCAGTTCAAAATTAAAGAAGCAAATTACAAACAACAAACAGACCTTTGCTAATCAACTATATTTGGACTAAAGGAAAAATTGTGTACATTTAATTTTTGGCTAAAACATCACTTAAAATCTATGCCCTTCACTCCAAATCCCAAAGGTTCCACAGCACTAGGGCTGGGCAATACGACTAAAAATATTATGATACATTTTATGATTTCATGATATGCATCATGATATTTCATTTTTCTAAGATTTAATACGTTGCAAAATAGAACCTGTAGTGCCACATATAAAACATACCATGATAATAATAATAATAATAATAATAATAATAATAAACCTCAATTACAATGATAATTCCAGCTAAACAGGCCTAGTTATACTCCTTTTGTAATGAAACATGTAGTTAATGTAGTGCTGTAGTGCTGATGAGATCCACTATATGCTCAGAAAAGTGCATTGTGACTTAATCTATCACAGTAACTATAAATATTTTCATATTGCCCACCTCTACACTGCACTGCACAGTTTACTCCTTTCTCTGCTCTAAAACACCTGGTTTGGTTGGTTAAGATTTAGATTAAGTTCAATCAGTTATGTTACAGCAGGGAAGCAAGTATTGCTGACACTCTACAAATGCAAGTGATGAATCATCTTCTTTTAATCTTCTGAGTCTTATTAGGCCATAGTTGTATGTAGGAGGGGAAGATATTCTGATTTCTAACACTTTCTGGAAGGGTGGAAAACAGGAGACAGGATGTTGCTCCATCCCTGGAGTCTTTGCTCAGGACTAAAACGGGAGTGGTTACAGGAAAGCATTGGAACTTGGAGCCTTCCACTGCAAGCTTAACTACCATCCACACTCAGACATTAAACCATGAATCCTCTGGGTTCTCTGTGTTCAAGTTCAAGGGCACATTTATGTGCATTGACCCACACGTCCATTCCTTTTAAAGCTTTCTATATAGAGCTGCACCCATCATTCGCTTAATACTCACCACGCAAAGACACCACACCAGTCAACCCTGTTCTGTTCATAATGGTTGCACATTTTCTCATAATGTATATGTCTGAGGTGGAAGGGGTGGAAAATACTTGAGTATTTGTACTTCATTAGTATACTTAAATATTATTTTAGAAGGTTTGTGCAAACCTCATGTCCAAAAAAGCTGAGACAGAGTGTGAAATGCAAGTAAAAACAGAAAGCAGTGATTTGTAAATCCACTTTATCTTGTATTTAAGTGAAGACAGGATGTTTAACATGCACCTCATCAACTTCATTGTTTTCTTTAAATATCGTCGCTGTCCAGAGAAAAACAAGTATCTCCAAAATAGTACCTTTACAGGAAAAGGCAAAAACACTCTTACCTTTCAGTGTAAGTCAATGTAAAAAGATTTTATTCCAAGTGATTTTAGAGCATTTCTATTGGTCCATTCATCATGAAACTTTTACACAACGTAAAGGACAGCTGGTGTGTTGAAATGATGTAGAAAACTTAAAATCGACTAAAATGGAGATACATGGTTTTCTCTGGGCAGCAGCTCATTCAGAAATTGATGCAGACATGGCAGCACATTCCAGAAAGGTTGGGACAGACTAAGAACATTGTGTAAACACATGATGCAATCATGCTTGGGTGTAAAAGGAGCATCCAGGAAGGGCCTATTGCTTTATGAGAAAGTACAGGTTGATGCTCGCCACTTAGCCAAAAAATGCGTCAGCAAATAATCCAGAAACAACGTTCCTCTATGAGCAAATGTTCCTCTGGTGAATCTGGAGACATCTGTGTGTGTAAAGGGCAAGGCCAAAAACCACAACTGAATGACTTTTAATCCCTCAGACAGCATTAACACTGTCGCTGCATCCACAAATGCAGGTTAAGACTGTACTATGCACAGTTAAGCCAGATATCAACAGTATCCAGAAATGCTGCGGACTTCTCTGAGCTCGAGCTCTTCTGAAATGGACTGATGCACAGTGGACACTACTGTCAGCCTTTCACATTGTTTATGGAAATAATAGACCTAATAGTGTTTTCCAGGCTAAAGAAGAGAAGGACCCTCCAGATTGTTACTTTATTGACTTGAGCATGTTTGAATTTCGATTCAGTAAATTTTTGGTTCCCTATTTCTACTTTTAAGTAAGATGTTAGATTTAGACTTTAGTACTTTTTCCAGGTTGTTGCATCATTTGCTACTGATTGATTACAGGAGATAGTAACCTTTTAAAATCAAACATGATGCTAATAAGTCTAGGCCTTGTTTATTAAATGCTCTAAAGCAAATCTTTTAGCTTTATTTAAAGACACAGCCCGTGTTTCTTCTCTTATACTACTGATAAGCTCAATATTGCTTTATGGTCAGAGTGATGTTTACTGGTGCTCTTTATCCCCTTAAAATCCCAGGCTAAATGTCCAGAGGTTTATTATTTACTATATACATGGACTGCGTGTATTATTTACTATAGACATGCCAGCAGTATAGTACCATTGGATTCGAGTGTATGCTTTCGAAACCTGTGCTAAGGCAAAATGTGGTACTTGGAAGACTGAGTGTGCATTTCCTGAAAATATGAACTCTGATTGAGGAATCTGGTCCTTGCAATTGAGAAAAAATTGCACCATCTCACAGGAAGTGTGAAACAACAGAAATGAAGAAGTGCTACAGAGGTCACAAAAATGCAGCAAAAAGACAGGTGCTCCTGGGGTGTGGGTGCAGCAAACTCAAAACAACAGTTCCATGCTGGGGGAGGCAAAAACCAAAAACATCCATCTGCCTAAACAGGGCATGTGCAAAATAAATCCCAGAGCAAAGAAATTCCCAGGCACACCGTCTTAGTTAAAGTATAAAAAGCCTTTATCGAAACATAGCAATATGTATAAAAATGTCCCGACGCGTCATGGCCTTTTCAGGCCTTCATCTGGACACAGAACAATGGCATGTCAATAGAAAACACAAAATTTTGAAATTTGAGCTACTCTGATTTCGCTTAAGCAAATCAGAATATGCTAAGCAATGAGTCAGGCAGGGCCTGAGATCACTGCCAGAAAAGAAAGCCACAGAAATCGATCACATTGCAACATAAATATTTAAAGATTCTGAGGAAGATTCGGTTAACGTGCTGACCAGAATATGTCAAGCAAATATGATTTTTGGAAAACAGCTCAGTAGCTGGCAGATTGGAACGTCAAGGAGGTCAATTTATATCCCTGTACCAGACCCTCCAGGAGGTTACGATCGTGAGAAATCACGCAAACTCAATAAATTCTCACAGTATTTGCCAGCAGTTTCATCCAATCACTGCTTTATTTCCGCACTAAACGTGTCTTTGAGGTGCTTTCAGAATGAAACTGGCTGCTTTTGTGCTACGTGCCAGGCAGCTGCAGTCTCAGCTACTCCTCCTACATGTAGATAGAGCGTCTGATATCTAAGCTAGCCTGGCCACAACTGTTGTAGTTTCGTCTGATAGCCTATCTTCACGTCCATGTGAACGCTCCTCTGTGTCTTCTCTATGTGCTGCGACTGAGCCTTTCATAGCAATGTAGATGCTGGACGGATTTACACTGTGTTGATCGATGCAAAGCACGTTAGCTGCAGGGTTCACATTAGTTGCAGTGCTACTTGATACTCTATGTACTTTGTTTAATACATTTTTGATTTTTGATACTTTTTATTTAAATGCATTGCCTTACACTGAAAAAGAACAAACAGATGTGCAAGTGGGTTTCAGGGAAGGCAGAGGAGCAAGATATATCCTCACTGATGTACACTGGATAATTGAAAAAGCCAAAGAATTCAAGAAGAAAGTCAACATGTGTTTTGTTAACTACAGAACAGACTTTGACTTTGTTGACCAGTTACAATTACGGAAAGTCTCATTGTTCTAATGAGGAACCTCTGCACTGATCAACAAGTCGCAGTCATGACAGAAAATGGACAGACTGGTTCCAGGAGTAAGGCAAGGCTGCCCACTGTTCAACCTGTAGCCCGAACATATAATAAAAGAAGCAGAACTGGATGAAGATGATTGAGGATTCAAGAGTGGTGGAAGAAACATCAGTAACCTTTGATGTGTGGATGATACAACAGCCATAGCGGCAAATCTGGACGACCTGAAGGCCTTTATCAAGAAAGTTAAAGAACAGAGTGAAAAGATGCCACTTCAACTCAGTATAGAGAAACAAAAGTCAATGGGAAAGTCAGATAACAGGAAAACCACTAGGTTTACCTTTGTGAAGTGGAAATGTAGAAGGAGTGGACTGTGTTTGTCTACTTGGATGAGTTATTAAAAAAACAAAGAATCCAGTGGTTGACACAGATTAGCGGTCAGTGGAACCAGGATGAAGGAGCTTGAAAGGATCTTTTAAGTGTAAAGTTGTGTTGCTGCAAACAGAGATCAGCATTGTCCAGGCTGTGGTCTTTACAAATGAAAAGGCAGGACAGGGAAAGTATTAATGCCCTTTAATGCTGGTTTTAGCATAGATTTTTAAGAGAAATTTGACCAAATCAAGCCTCTCACTTGAAGCCTAGAAACCAAACTGAAGCTCTCGTTTGAACATATTATCAGAAGGGCCCAGACCAGTGGCCATAGGTTATGGTGTCTGTGTGCTAATGGCGAGATCTACCACACAGACGAATCTAAAGCTGACATTTTGACAGCAGGTATCTTCTCAGAAAAAAACATTATGAAGCCATAAAGTTAATCAAGGTTCAAAGTACCTCCATATAAACATTGAGCTCACCGATGGCTGCGTTCTCTTAGTTCTGGTTGGCCTTTGTTGTACTAAAAGGGCTACAAGATGCCACAAATGGTATCTATCCAGCAGAAATATAGTATGAATCAGTGTTGTTGACTGTGCATTAGAGGCTGCACAGTTTACAGTTGTTTTAAGACATATTTTGCCCACTTTTTTGACTCCTCACCTTTTATGCACTTTGAAGGCAGCATTGTGTGCTAACCTGAGCTGAAAAAAAGTCGGGTAGCCTACATTATGAGCATTTTTCCTGTGCTGATGAAGAAGACGGGCCTTAACATTAAGAGAAGACTAGCGGCTGCAGGCGTCAAGAAGGCTAACCTCTTTGATTTTTGTGGATTCACATTGTCACGATGGATGTTGGTAGACTTCAGTCATGCTCCTGATTGAGACAGAAGAATCATGAACATGCCATTAACCCTTGTGTGGTGTTGATGTTGTTGTTACTGAGTGGTCTGAGGGACCCACCACATTATGGTTTTTTAAATCAAAACAGCCATAACAATTTATGTAAAATTACCAGATGTTTAAAATATCACAAGTGTCCAGCGTAGGGTTCTCCTTTAGCAGCTGTAGCCAGTCAGCAGCCTGTCCATGTTGCCCACCCTCACATACACCCACACATATAAAAACACATACACATAGACACACACTAATAGCAGGCCGTGTAGGAGGAGAACAGAGTGAAGGGACACAGCACCTCCACACGTTTATTCGCGAGTTCGCCCCAACACCACATGTGTCATATACATGTGTAGGGGGTGAACAGTGTGAAGACACTGAAAATGTGTTATTGTATATGTTCTTCATAGAATATGAGCAAAGGGCAATCTGGGGTTGAAATAATAATAAATCACATCTTTTTTATTTTGGTAAACATTGAAAATGGGTCCCACACACCCCAAAACCACACAAGGGTTAAGAGGCCTAAACAGAGGAAAAGATATTATGGAGTCATATTATCCATATGGTCGACTGGAGTCAGAATCAACATAGAGATTACGCTCTGTGCTTTATGGTTCTTTAGGCCCCAAGCATACAGAGACAGTACAGTAAAGCTCAGTGACAGTGTAAGTTTACCCAGCTGCCTACTGCAGTGCTTTATTGTAAGAGTCCTCGATAGTACAAGCCCAAAGCCTTTACTGTAAGGCATACGCTTTTTGCATTGCAAACAGATACACAAGCACAGCTCCTGTGTCTCATCCTCAGCTCAGGCAAATACAGTAAACCGAGCATTGTTATGAAATTTCACTCGAAACCAAGGGGACACACTGAATGGGTGTCCAGTGGTTGACGTGGAATATGGAATCTGATCACTCTCAGTATCAGCCAGCTGAAAGCCTGGCTGGGTGGTGTGGGACAGTGACATTCATAACCTAAATGAAAAAAAAAAACTCCCAGACATTCTCAGAAGTGCAGCAAACCTAAAATCCTGTGTTATTGTCATATGCTTCACTGCAGTGATTAGAAACTGCTAAATTTAGTGCTGATGCTGACTAATGTTAAGTGTTAAACAGCTGTGTACCACTTAGAAAAGTGGTACTTTCGTATCGTCGCAGGCGTGAAATCATTTTGTAACGCTGTTTGAACTCCAGCTGTCATTTGCATTGTTTGAACTTTCCATGATGAATATACCTATAGAAATAGTCTAAAATTACTTTGTTGTTTTTTAACAGATTTTACATTTGAAATTGAGAGTTAATACTGTCCAGTAGTAATTCATTACTGTACCTAAGTATTTTTTTTTAATGTATCTGTACTTTACTGAAGTATTTCCATTTTGAGTGACTTTTTACTTTCACTCCACTACATTTCAAAGTCAAATATCTTACTTTTTACTCCACTACATTATGTGAAATCTGTTGTTCCTTTTGGTTTATGTGTGTATAAAAACATAACATGTCAAAACGAAAGAAATGTGAAGCAAGAACACCAATCAGGGCACAGCGCGCACTTTGTTTTGAGCTTGTTGTGACCTGTTGGACATGCCGACCCAGTGCAAGCATACGGTTCAATGACAGTGTAAAAGTTTGGGATGGCTATTCCTACATAAATGGTGCAAGAAACTCCTGACTCTAACCAAACTTTGTGTAAATAGACCACAATATAGAAATATGTCCACATATGCAGTTGTGACTGGCCTGTTTCTTTTTTCTGAATTTATACAAACACTATTTCATTTTATAGTAAATTAATTTTTGCTAGTTTATGTTTATGAACAGAGACCTACAGATGCAGTTTAGTAAAGGAAAACTCATCTGTGTTCAAAGCAAGTTTTTATTAAACTTAAACTAATTTTTATTTAAAAAAATGCAAATAAATCTGAAACCGAAACTTTGCTTGTTTGCAAAAGGTTATTTCAGGGCCACTCAGTTCTACCTAATGGAAATTGTTTGCTATCAGCGTTTTCTTCTTTTGATAATTTTAATAGACATCAGTGTCAGACTAATTAATGACATTCTATTAAAAGATTGGTTTACCAAGAGTAACACTAGAATATTTTCACCTAAAACGAATTGATAAAGCAAGAGTCTTGTTACAAAAATGATAATAGGACATTAAAGTCATAATTGATCTTTCAGTACCTTCACTTTTGATACTTAAGTACATTTGAAGGCAAATACTTTTGTACTTTTACTCAAGTGGAGGTCTAAAGGGAGGAACTTCTACTTTTACTTTAGTAATATTTTACCTTGGGTTTCTCTACTGTAACTCAAGTACATGATTTGTGTACTTTGTCCACCACTGCTACTGTCATTAAGTAAATACACATGTGAAATAATGAAAAACAAAAAAGAAAAGCACTTATAGTTGTATCTAAAAGTTTGAAAACTCCACATCAAGTCAAAATAAGTACTTAAATATGGTATTTTTTGTGCGAACTGTATTGCAGAATTTCTTTTTAGGTGCTGGGTTTATCATATTGGAAGAAAACAATATTAATAAATACTAATAATACATTTAAAATATACCATAACTATTGCACAGGCCCCGTTTTTTGTCCAAGATTTTAAATGTAGCAAATAAACAGATATTAAAATGTGCAGAAGTGTGTTCTCTGTAGAGGAGGTGCTAAATTATTTTCACTTAGAAAATAAAAAAAACAGGTAATTTGACCAGGGGCGCACAAACTTTTGCACAAAATGTACAGTGCAAATGTGCACAGAAAGATTAAAATCACTATTAGATTATTAAAAATGAAAGAATTCTATTATAACACTTACACTTAATCTTACTTATGCCAACGTTAGGCTACATGTGGCTGCTGTTGTTGTTACATGACCTGCTCTTCTGTTCTGTGATATTCTGTCATATTTCAGACGAAGCTTGTTATGGAACCTGATCAGATTTGTGATTTATTTCCTCTGATACCTGATCCAGCAATTTCTTCCAGTGTCAGGCTTATACTGATACTAGGTCATCTCAGTTCTGTGAGCTAGGAGTTACATTTACATTTGCTTTACGTTCTGTGTTGACAGGTTTGAGTCGGCTCTTCCGTTCTTTTCTTTATTAGTTTTGCTTTCAAGAAATGACAAAAATGATAAAAATGTAAAGGTTGCATTTTCTTTTCGCAAACAAAGCTTGTCTACACTACAGTGATGTTTTACTGCTGCGTTGTATTGTGGACTGCAAGCTTAGATTGCACATATCTCACACTCGTGATCTCCACTCCTTTCAGTGATCTTTAAAGCACTTAGTTATAATTATTGCTAAATTACATAATGCCTTTGTTATCATCAGAGATAAAGGCAACCTTTAGTCTTTTCAGAGAAGCAGTTTTAAGATATCAACACTGTATTCATTTTGCATGAACAAAAGAAACTTCATGTCCTGTATAGATTTGTTTGGAATCACTTGTAATATTAATGACCGTTATTCTTTTATACACATTAAATGTTTATGCAGTGTAGATTTACATGTTATAGATTAGACACCAACAGGTATTTTTAGATGTTTAATCCAGTATTTTATGAATTTTGGGATCAACAAGGAGTCAATTTTGTCAGGTTTTCTGCCTTTAGATTTGATGTCATTGCTTCTGAAATATGAAGCATTCCCAGTATTAATTTTATTTTAACTGTAATCATTCAGGGCAGTCTTTTTTCAGTTTTGAAGGGTCCTACAAATTATTTAAAGTCTGTGAAGCTACACAGGAATATCATATTAGAAATCTTTTACAGCAACAAATTGCTTATATATATATATATATATATATATATATATATATATATATATTACTGTAATCAAGCTATATTTGGTTTTATAACAATAAGTTTAATTTCTCTCTCTCTCTCTCTCTCTCTCTCTCTCACTCTGTAGGTACTTCTTTCGAAGTGGAAATATTGAGACGAATGGAGATAAGTTTTACAACACCACCGTGGAGGTGCTGCCTAATGACGTAGGTGCTCTAGGAACCAGTTTAATGCTCAGGTTACAAGAATGACACTCTGAGTGATAAGGCTGAATCACTGTATCCAGTGACACGTCTAACCACGCTCTCTATGCTTGCTTGTCTCCGCCCTCCGACTATTTTTGACTTTTACCCTGGTAGTGGCAGCGACGTTTACTTCCCCGATTACGTCTTTGTTATGTGTGTGCGTGTGAGTGAGCGTATGTCTGCATCGCTGTGCAAAGTTCCTTTTTACTGAGCGAGCAGTAAAAGTGATTCTGAAGAAACAGAAAGCTGACACTGTTCACTTCCACCGCACGTCTCTGGTATAGGATGTTTCCTGCTGCAGCTCTAGGCTTACTGAAGATACTGTGTCTTTGTGGATGCCGTTCATTCATTTATACTTACATTCCACTGCCTAACTAGGTCATTCGTCTTGGATTATACTGCAAAATATGGTATCTTGGCAGGTGAAATGATCTTAAATCTAGTCGATATATGTAATATTTCTCATGTTGAGGTGGTTGTAAGTTTTTAAAGTTATTTTCAGACATTGTTTACATGTTTTAAGCAATTTTATCAATTAAATGAACTCACTGTATTAGCAGATAATTTTGTTTAATTCAAGTATATTACTTAAAATGAGCAAATTTATCTGCCAACAGACAATAAAACTATGAACAATGGCTGAAAATATATATCAGCCCTTTCTACGGAGCCCCGCTGGTGACATCCCATATAAATAAAAATAATGTGTGGCCATGTCTGAATAACGCGTGGAAACAAGATCCTATTGCGTGGCAACAACTTAGTAAGGCGTCGAAATGAGATCATGCCTTCCTAAGTTGTGGTCACGCATTAAAATCTCGTTAACACGTCTTACTAAGTTGTGGCCACGCGTTAGGATCTCATTCCCATGACTTACTAAGTCCTGGCCATGCGTTATTTTTATTTCTACAGGATGTCACCCGTGGGGCTCCATACATTTCACTTGCAAAGATACCATTTTTGCTGTGTAGATAATTTTCTGTAGTAGATAGAATTACTTAAAAAAGGTAAACAACGTCTGAAAATGAGTTAAAAAATTCTTATAAACTTATAACATGTATATCAGTCATTTCACTTGCCTAAATACTATTTTTTGCTGCGTACACAGTTTTGGGTCTGTATGCATGAAGTTTCTCAGAGTAGCGGTGCCGACCTGGGATCTGTTACTTTCAGCAAAGTCTCTGTAAATAATAGAGGACTCTGATTCTAGATCAGCACTTCTACTCTGACTCTTTGTGAACACAAGCCCTGATCGGTCACCACGGCTACGGTGGGTATGGTGTAATTAGTCAGTCAGCACTGACGGGAAAGCATCACAGGACTTGCTACAAATGACAGTATCACATTTTCTTTCCTAATAACAAAACTGAAACTTTGAGTACCAGCTGATAGCCATACAAACCTTCAGCTGAACGTCCGAACACTCAACATAACCATGAACATGACTTACATATAACCAGGGCTGAATAATTAATCATTGTATATTGAAATTGCAGTTTGAAAGAGTGCAAGAGCAAATTTAAATCACAATATTGGTCACAAAAATCAAACTTTTTTCCAAATAATCTGTGTCCTCTTAAAATTTTCATTCAAAAATGACCTCAGTATATTAGTAGGTAAATTCGCTTTATTCAAAAACATTATCTGCCAATATAGTGAGGTCGCTTTACTTGTTAAAATTACTTAGAAATTAGCGTGTGAAACAATGTCTGAAAATGAGTTAAAATTCTTATAAGCTCACAACAACCTCAGCATGAGGAATATTACATATATATATATATATATGTGTGTGTGTGTGTGTGTGTGTGTGTGTGTGTGTGTGTGTATTGGTCTTTTGCTGTGTATATAGCTCTGGGCCTGTATGCATGAAGCTTCTCAAACTGTGAGATTCAGCCGATAGCCGTACCAATCTGAAATTTTCATCTAAAAGTCCAGCACTTATATTTTTTCCAAACACTCAACAACCAGAAACATGACTTACATATAAGCAGGGCTGAACAATTAATCATTTTATATTGAAATTGCAATTCGAACAAGTTTTTTGAACCTTTTAAAAAACTTTCATTAAGAAAAGAAATTACAGTGCAAATGTGTGCAAAATATTTAAAGTAACTATTAGACTGTCTACCCTAAGGGTAGGCAATATAACTGTCACAATACACAGTATTTTTTCTGACATCTGATAGGTTGAAACTACCTAAAAAAAGTTCTTAAAGTACTGACAATATCCACAATATACTCAGAATAGCATTCTGTAACATATAGTGTTGTAAGTCAACACAGTATGTAAGTGTGATAAATGTTGTGACATTGCCCAGCCCTCATTTAACCCCTTTTCACCTTAGACATACAATACCATTTCCACCTGCTTCGTAGGTGCCTCAGTTGAACTATTTATTTTGTTTCCCTTCCATCGTTTCAGTGGAATACATGTTGAGGGAAATGTGTATGATGTACAAAACCAGAAGAAAACTTTTATGAAAGTGTTTTAAGTGTTTTTGTATTTAAATGTTTTTTTTTTATTATTGTTTTTAGCACACAATTTTTCAAACAACGGAAACTGCAGTTTTATTTCGGCACAGCCGTCTTTGTGGAGAGGTTGAATTGGTTTCACAGCAGGGGGTTCTCACCCCTTCTCACCTACCCTTTTATATATATATATAAAAGGGTAACAACATGTATTACGTCAAAAACCGGAAAACGACAAATATATATATATACTTCCACCGTAGTTGCTGGCTGACTAATTACACTCAGTGTAATGTAATGAGCACAAAGGAAGATGTAAAGAAGGTGAATTCCAAATGTTATTTTGAACTATAAAGCATTTTTCCTCTTTTTTTACTGTCTCACTGTTTTACTCTGTGTTTCAGGCCTCTGTGAGAGAGCAGGTGGAAAAAGGACAGCTCTCCTGCTGTAGACCTTCCTCCGATGGCTTTGCGGTGATAGGTACTCAAATATCATTTGTTTTACATTTGCTTTCGGTCTGTCTTGTTCCCCTTTTCCTTCCACACGAACATTTGCATAAACACAAGAATTTGAATGGGTCCTTTGTGGCCTGGTGCCCTAGACATGAGGTGGAGCACAGGACAAAAGGAGCGATATATACATGCAGACATAGGAGACAGAGAAAGAGGCGCAGATGAGTAACTACACAGAACTTGGAAGTGTGTGTGTGTGTGTGTGTGTGTGTGTGTGTTTGCTGTTATATTATTTGTCACAGAAATGTGTCTCTTGTGGCTGTTGCCCCAGCCTTTTTTTAAGGCAGGGGTTTTTTTGTGTGACATCCTGGAAAACCAAACAATGAAGCTATAAATTTAGAAACTGAATAATTAAACCCCAGTTTTGGTATTGTTTTGAAATGTTTTTTCACCGGCTTTAACCTTGACTAAATTCTCCACCATTCCCCAGATCATATGTGACATAAGGTACAGTTATATGCAAAAGTTTGGACGCCCCGGTGGGATTACGTGTCTTGTTGATTTTCTAAGTAAAAATAATTTAACACATCCTCCACAGTGAACAGACTTAAATACGGTGTTTTCCAGGACATTTTTGAATGTTTAAGATATTGAAAACATAAAATACAAATACAAAAAATGCCACAACTTTTGCACAGACCACATTTTATGTTATTTTTCCCCAGCAAATAAACAGTAATTGTGCATTAAAAAGTGCAGAAGTGTGTTCTCTGTAGCGGATGTGGACTTATTTTCACTTTGGGTCGCCCAAACTTTTGCATACCACTGCATGTTAAGGGATGTTCATGGCGGCATCTCTTTTCTTCGATGAAACTCTAAGTAATGAGGTACTGGTGTGGCCTGTCCAACATATTTTATGATATTTGTAGTATAAATATTTGTGTGTGTTTTGTACGCAGGCTCCTTCGTGAACGGAATAGCTGAGGGAGAGGTTGATGGAGCGCTGCGTGAGATAGCCGCCATGCGACTCCTCGTTCATTCCGACTCGGACGTCTGGGTACTTTTGAGCGAGGTGAGCCTTTTACTTGGGATTTTTCTTTTGTTGTTTTCATGTTGTGTGTAAAATCAAAGTTCTGACCGATATGAAAATTCCGTCATAATATCGATACCAATTTTAAGGAACTGAAAATTTTGATATTGATAATTGATATGGTCACTTAAACCGATAGTTTCATTTAAACAGTGCTTTACTGACTGGTATGATTGTCAGTTCTCGATTGTCAAATTTCATACCACACTCAACCATCTGAATCACACAGAGACTTAAATAATAATAAATAGAAAGCAAAGCACTTGTAAATAGCCATTTATCTTAACTTTAAAACAGGTCAAATAAATGACTCACAATGCTGAACTATCATAAAAGAGCAAATTCAAAGTATGTTTAAATCTGCACATAAAATCACAGAACAAAACCTCAAATCTCAAAAAAAGTAACTTAAAACTTAAAAAAAACAAAGATAAATACAGAAAAGACTGTTTTATCTTTGAAGAAGAATTAATATGTTGGTTTAGTGTTCTCTCTGCACTCCAGCCTTCGCATGGATTTGTTCAGTTACGTCAGCAGCACCTGATTTAATTCAATGACGGATTGATTAGATAAACTAGGCGTTGGACGTTAACTGTAAATACTGGACTTCCTTAAGGAGCGATTTGGGGATGATTCACACTCATCAGATCACAATGTGTTTGTTTATGTATTTGTTCTAATGTTAGTGCTTTTTCACACAAACAAATACTTACTGCCCAGATAAACAGCTTTATGTATCATTTTCTCAGCAGGCTTTTTACACAGTGCTGTATATCTCAGGCCCTAACGAAACCTGACTTTACACTCAACATTTCCGTTTAAATGTAATGCAAACTATCTGCAAAGGTGGTGAGATGCAGCTGCACTGCCTTGCAATATTTACACACCACAAGCTCCAAGTTTACTGGAGATGAATTCTCATATTTCTCTAGACAAAAAAACAATGAAGCCAGAAAATCTGAATGGCCTTAAATCTTTATCCGAGACAAACACGTGCTGTTATGTGAGGAGTAGTTATGGGGTGTAATAAACATGTGATTGGCTCTCAGAGGAGCAGAGACAGATTAAACAGGCGAGCGATTTTCCTGGAAAGTAAACAACACGTACGTTGAAGTGAAGCTGCAGTTGGGAGTTAATGAAAGGCACCATAGACTCCGATAGAAGTTCCTGGTTTGCTGGCAGAACGTTTGATTGACGTGTTATGTATGTTTTAAAGCGTCCGTATCATGGAAAACGGAATTTTTCCTAGCTTAATTTTTAAATAATGTTTTTATGTATACTTTTAAAATTAAGACATAATATTTAAATATTGTTCAGACTTCAAAATGTACCATTTAATTGTCAATCCATACAGATCACACATGGAAACAAAAACAGGCCTGCATGGACCTTATAAGAAAATGTCAAAATAACAGAAAAATGTAGGATATGAACTTTTTTAAAAAGGAAAATTGTGTCGAAAACCTTCGTGCAATTCATAGAATGGGTCTATTAAATAAAACGAGGCTGTGTGGAGTTACTGTGTGAACACATGTTCACGCTCCATTACAGACATCCTAGAATGTGGACTGTCTTTACCAGAAAATCAGGTTTTTCTAGCTGTATGGAAACCGACACGAGGTATGCAGTCAGGGTGCAACTGGATCGTCCACACTTGTGTTATTTCAGTCATCAAGAAGCTGTTTAAAAGGCGTCACTGCCCAGAAGCATTACTTCAGTACGCACTTTTGAAAGTTTCTGAACTGTGCCGGCAAAACCTGAAGCCCTGTCTGATTCCACAGAAGCCTCTTCAGGGACTCAAAGAGGAACCGAATCTGAGCCTTATTGTAAATATGTGAGTGTATAGATGTAGCAGTGTGGTTATTGGAGCTAAGGTTTGGTTAAGAGTCACTTCCTCTCTCTCTGACAGATCTTCATTAAAGTTTGATGAGCAGTGAAGATGGGAGAAAGCAGAGAGCAGGATCGACTCTCAGCATAACAGCACACCCTGCTGGTCAGGAGGCATCCCCTAGCAACACTCCAGGGACAAGCAGCGTCACTTTGCATCTCTCAGTGGACATGTTCCCAAATGAAATGAGATCTTTGTCTCTTTTCAGCAGTTTTTGCATAGTCTGGCACATAGGATGAATAGATGGCATTTATAGGTATGTGCTTTGCCAACTGCACAGCTTTATTTGAAGAATGACTGAATGGAAAGTTCTTGATATGAGTACAGCAACTGTAATAAAGTAAAACATTTAGACAGTGGTGTATCGAATCACTGAAGCACAACAGTGTAAGAGGAAGGGTAGGGGTAGGTGGACACTCTAGGGACCCTAAACCTTTCACCTGTTTGTGGTTTTCCTTGATCTACCCGTCTGCCGCACCTGCCTCAGCACATGAATCGCTTGATTAATGCCTGATTTTAAGCTAGGTTGGTGTTATAGAGCAGGCACGTCAAAGGAGCGCGACTGAGAACAAACCTGCTGGCTACTGAAAGGAAACATGAATCACCTTTTGAATGAAGTACTCCATTACGTACACTTTTTAATATTTATTTTTAATGGTTTTGTGCTCTTTATTTAATGCTCTCCCACTACTGAACAACCCCAGATGTCATTTATAAATAATTTCCTGACTTGTCCTGGAAACACAATGTATTTTTCTCCATCTGTTATTATAATGGAATTTATTGACAGATCAGATGCATTAATAACCATTCAAATCAACCATAAAGCCCAACACCAGACTGACGCTTAAAGCTTGACCATTCATTCCCACGTCACTTCCACAGCCCTGACGTTATCTGTACTGGATGATTAAAATTATTTTTTGACTATATATATTTGTAAATTAACAGTAAATGGTTTGCTTGATGTTGGCTTGGCTTGCCTTGAACTTGGTGACTGCAGCTGCCAATCATAATTCTCCATTTGTTTCCAGGACACTTGAAACACCTGCAGTTCATTTGCAAATGCAAACAGTCCACCAGTCATTTGAGACATTGTGAAAGTGTCCCTGTCATAATGTTAAGCCTTTGTTGTTGTTATTCTGTAACACTACATGCAACTGGTTCTATGATAACAGCTTACTTCACAGCCAAGAGCTGCAGATACCAAGTGGTCTTATTTCTCCTTCCGAGCACCTTTGGAAGTCCTGTGGAAGAGCGAGACGGAGATGGAAGTGGAGGTTTAGTGTGAAACACTGAGGTGGAGGTGAGGGAGGGAGCGGGAAGGGTGCATCTATAAATCTCTACTGTGGCCAATTCAGTTCCTCACTCTTGTAATGAGTTGATAGAGGCAAATACACGGCCTCACTCCTCCAGGGTGTTTCATGAAGTTCTAAACCAAATGACTTAAACTCCCGGAGGCCCACAGCACTGCACAGGTTAGCGCCAGAGTGATATCCGCTACTATAATTCAGTAATATCATTTTTTTGATGGTCCACTGTAGCATGCCAAGTAAAATGATCTTAAATATAGTTAAGAAATCTAATATTTTCCTCTTGAGATTGTTGTAAGCTTAATTTAGGATTATTTAGCTTATTTCTACACATTTTTATTCGTTTTAAGTAATTTATCAAGTAAAATGAAATTAAAATTTTACTTATAGGTCAATAAAACGACCTAAAACAAGTAAAAATGTCTGGAAATGAACTAGGTAATATAACAAAGTGCACAACCATCTAAAAGTGGGAAATGTTAAGATATACTGACTAAATTTAATATCATTTCACTTGACAAAATACCATTTTTTGCAGTGTAGGTAGTTTGTTAATTTGTCAGCATCTAAAGGGGACAATCAAAATAACACGTATAATTCAGTATACCTCTAATATTCAGATGTCCAAGGTGTTAATAATAAATTCTAGAGGTGCCCTAATCATTATTTTGTATTGATGTAAGATGTAAGTACATAGATACTAGATAATACAGACAGTGGTACTTCAATGTAAAAAAACAAGCCAGCTAAAATATGCAAATATATGCAAATATGTTAGGCTGTCAATCAAAACTACAGGCAAATGCACTTAATTTTTAGAAGACTTTAGTAGCCTGTGTGCAATTCCATACAAATGAATGTTTCGTTTTTTTTGACTATTTTTTTCATGTTAAACTGCTTTGTTAAAGAGTTTCGCAAGTTTTTTTAAAAAACAATTCTGCATAATTCAATTATTAAGATATAAGTGGTGAACAAAGTCATTCAGAGTGGTTTGGTGTGAAATGGTACACTGCAGAGAAACCTGCCAGCTCTTTTTTCATTATAATAATGGTGATAGGAACCAGGGGTTGGCATGTCTACAATGCAAATTTAGTCATTTAATGCTAACTATTTATCCAAACAGCCAGTGAACCTGCCTTTTGAGTTTTTAAATGTAATATTGATACTGGTGTAGTGGTAGTTCTTATGGAAGTTCTTATTTTGCCCAGCACGTATATCTTCACATTGCATGTAATTTTAAAAATGTTTTAGGCCAAAATCTTACCTCAAAAATGATAATATATATACATAAATAATGTTTCAGGCATCAAACAGAGTAATTCATAACCATCTCATGTAATAACTTTTGTGAGGGAGCTTTCAGAGACGCCTGGTTTCTATCACCACCACTGTAAAGAAAATCTGAGTTGGTGGGTTTCTCTACAGTGCATTATTTCACACCACTCTGAATGGCTGTATCTTCTTAAAACATTCCTCACTGCTGCAAGCTGAGGAAAATGTGTGTTATATCATACTTAATATAGCCAATACCAATCCATTAAAACATGCCTGGTTCAGCTGCAGATTTGATTGAGTCAACCCTAATATATTCTGTAAGATGGTGGACCTTCAGGAACAGAGATAAGCAGCCTTGATGCAAGTTTTCCCAGCACTAGCTGATTCATCAGCTAATTTAGAGCTGAGTTGGATGCAATGGATCACTGAAAATGCCAAGCTGTGCAGTGCACACATCTGTTGAGTCATGCAAAATTTGAACCTCCTGGCAAATTACATTGTTTTTTCTTAGTGAATAGTGAACACATCCTCTACTGGGACCCTCTACTTAAATATGGCATTTATCCGCTCATTTTAGTGCAATATTTTCACTTATTTTAATTGAACATACTGGAAAACATAACATATAAAATGTGCCATAACTTTTGCACAGGTCACATTTTATGTTTATTTTTTATCCTAATAGTTAAAACTCAGCAAATAAAGAATAACTGCATATACATGTGCAGAAGTGTGTTCTCTGTAGAGGATGCGTTCACTTAATTTCACTTAGAAAATCAACAAAACGTCATTCGACCAGAGGTGCCCAAACTTTTGCATGCGACTGTTTGCAAGCACTGTAAGCCCTGTATTGGAGGTACCCAGGTGAGATGAGGGGACTGAATGAAGACTCAAAAGGCTCGACACACATACAGGGATTATCATTGCGAGGACTCGATCAAAGGCAAATCAAAAACATATTTATTAAAACAGGCACTAAAAGATACTAAACAATAGTAAAATGCTACACAAACGTTAAATACTGCTCAGGGGTTGAAGGAGCGCACACAACTCTGATGTAGACCTCGAAAAGTCTGCTGTGAAAAGCACCAGGAAAGAGTCACAAATTTCATTCCCTGAACAGAGTGACCTGAATCACTGTTACCTAATTGATCAGGTTACTTGTAATATATGTTGACAGACAGGCAGTACAGCAGCAGACAGTTTTAAAGGCCACATCACAGTTGTGTTCCCATTTTACAAAGGTAAAACAGCTCAAAATAAATTACAAAAACACTAACACAAAATAAAACACAGGTTCATGGAGTTCATTTAGTTATCTGAAATTAGTTCTTGTTGTTTCTCTTAATACTCTGCCCTAACATAAGGCAAATAACTATGATAAAACATATAAATAAACAAAAAATATGATCCTCAAAAGCTGCCCCTGTGGTGGAACTGGATGGAACAGCTTCTTAAATTAAAAGATCCCTTACGTTAAGAGACATTTGCAGCACGATATGCTATGTTAAGCAGCATTAAAATAAACCTATAAAGTAAAATTGGGATTCATATGACAGAAACACACACCAAGCAAATGTAAACATTAGCCATTTTAGCTGCATGTGGGTAAAACTAAAAAGGACAAATAAAGTTAACTGTGCTGAGATGGCAGAGGGTTTCTGACTCTACATAGGAGGGGAAGAGGGGGGTTCTCCCTTACTTCCGCTTGCTTTTGGAGTCAGTGGTTTGAAACACGCTGGACGCGGACATGAGGTTCTCTATGTACTGACCCAGAACCTGGTTTTCTGACTTAAGCTTCAGGTTCTCCTCTTTCACGGCGTCCACCCGTGCAGAGAGGTCTGAAAAAGCGAGAACAGGGTACACCTTATAGGCATCAGCTGAACATTTGAGATGTTTTACAAATTCCAGCCTTCAAACGGAGCTGAAGCAAAGCAAGGCCTTAAACTGCGGACATGAACTTTACAATTTTGATATTTCTCGTGTCTTTTTTACCCTCAAGAGTGTTCTGCAGCTCCAGGACCTGGTTTATGAGCCTTGTCTTCTCCTCCAGCTCAACCTGATTTTCCATGTCACCTGAAATACAGCACATCTATGAGAACTTCTTCATTTTTTACTATCTCGCCTGTAAAAGCCAGGAATTTTGTGAAATACAGTGGGCTTTCTATGGACCACCTAGTTCTTCAACTAGGTTCCACAACCTACTTAAAACAACCTAACTGGCGCTCTTACCATCCACGTCGGAGTTCATGGTGAAATAATCGTCTTCCTTTTTGGAATGCAGGGCTGCGACTCAGGTGCACTGAAAGACAAAATCAAAGCAGGGTTCTCTTTAAAGCAGTGTTTCACATTCCTGGTTTTAGTCCCCCAGTACAGCATATTTTAGTGTTTCCCCTCTCTATGACCTTCTCTATGATTTTACCTCCTAAAAATTCTGGTAATAAGCTGACAAACTGTATCAGGTACATTCGAGTGAGAATAAGACCATGAACCACTTTCTTAGACAGGGATTAAGCCTAGTCATGGACTACGTTCTCTTTTCAAAGGAAAATCTCCATTCAAAACTCTGTGTAGTTCCTTACTATGCTTAATTCCCATCCAAGAAACCTGACCTAAGAGTGCAGGTCAGGGGAACTACAGGAGCAGGACAAGGAAACAAGGGACACATGCAGACACCTACTCAACTAAAGTTTCTTCTGAAATCAAGGGTATTAAGGGAGCATAATTAGGGATAATGCCCCCCAAAAGCATTGCTGTGAGGATTTAACTGCATTCGACCACAGAAGCATTAGTGAGGTCTGGTACTGATGTTGAATGATCAGTTCACTCCAACTCATCCCAAAGGTACTGGATGGAGCTCCATCACTCCAGGAACCACAGTTCCTCTGCTGCACAGCCCAAGGCTGGGTGGCTTTATACCCCTCTAGCTGCTGCTAAGGTCACTGGGCATGGTGATCTTCGGCTCCAAAGTATCCCAATCTATCAGCAATGCTTTCTATGAAGGTTTTACAAGCTGTGTGCACAACTGAGCACCTTTATCCACAACGAGTGCACATTTAAGTAGCTGAATTCATTAATTAAAAGGGGTGTCTGAATACTTTTGGACACAGTGTAATTACAAATCATAATATTTTGAACTTTAGATGTAGGGCACATACTAATAGTCATGGTTTTTGGCAAAATGGTAAAGGGGCATTCCACTGATTTTTCAAAATTTCAGCATAATTTAGTGGTTGAAACTTAATTCAGAATGGTTTGATGTGATGGTTAAATGCAAAAAAACTTACTCAGATTTCTTTACAGTGGTGGTGAAAGAAATCAGGGGTTGCAATGTCTACAACATAAATATAGCCATTGTAGTTACTATCCAAAACCACCAGTGAACCTACAAGTGTCTTCTGAAATTTGTACGTAACGCTGAGGATGGTAAAGTAGTGGTAAATCTGAAAAAAAAATCCTTGGGCACTACTTTTTGCCTTACCACGCCCTGCATGCAGTGTGACTGGCTTTTAGAAAACCCTCTCAGGACTATGGTAAAAACAGTGTCTCAGGCCTGTCCATACGCTTTAGACCTGACTCTGTGAGGGCGCTTTAAGAAATGGATGTCTGGTCCCCATCACCACCACTGTGAACAATTCTAACTCGGTAAGTTCCTCTAGAACAGAGCATTTCATACCAAACCACCCTGAATGACTTTATCAACATCTTATCCCATCCATTATACAGGAATTTTGGAATTCCCCTTTAAGACGCTCAATAGATTTAGCCACCCGTGAACCTAAATATGAGGGACGTGAACCAAAACACGCAGGGTAAAAATGTATTAGCTGGTGTTTCTACTGATTCATGTCTTACCATCGAGGCTGAAGTTGGTTATTTATTCGCCAGCTTCTTGTTCGAATATTCCCGTTCCACCTTAAATGGTGCAGCAGTTACTGTCTGAATGTAACTGTGCACCTCTTAAGGTGGAACGGGAAAATTCGAACAAGACGCTGGGAAATGGGAAGCTGACTTCAGCTTCGTGACTCAAAGCCAGACCATAGGATTGGTGAACAATAATTAGACAATTTTAGATAAAGTCTAACCTCAGGAGAATCTCTCGTTAATAGACAGCGAAACTAAACGAATCAGCGCCAGTTTGCGAGCCAACGCTAGCTGACCCAAGCTAAGCTAAGCCATGCTAACGGTAGCTAAAAACAGACTGACAAACAGCTGACATTCATAAACAAACGGGCTTTTTGTTCAGCATCTCGTCAGTTTCGCTGTTCAAACTGAGACAAAACTTCATCACTGACTCGAATTCAAAAGTAATAGATGCATACCGACCTTATAAGGAGAATAAATGATAAATTCTTTATGTTTATTTCTGATGATCAGCCTTTCGTTGTAGCGTTTTTTCCACACCTCTACTCAGACAAGACCCGCCCTCCTTCCTTCGGATTTGCTACTAGTTCATACACGTAAGTACGTCCACCAATCATAGCGCAGGGTAGAGGGCTACTAGCCAATCATAGCACAAGAAAGGAATAACGGTGTGGAAAAATTAAAGTACAGCCAGCAGGCTGTAATCCTGACAACAGGAGTTAAATTAACCACATTATTACATTATTATTACTGCATTTATTAAGTTTTTATAACTAGGTTTAGACGAAGTTTAAGTCTAGAGTGTAAAAGCATATCAGTATCAAAATTAAATCAATATGCAAAATGGCAATGTAATCCTAATTTTGAGTTTGGGCTCAAAATGAAAAATCAATTGAATTTCATTCAATTGCCATTTTGAATACTACTATTGATATTTCTTTTGCACAGAAATTTGGATGCTTCACGAGTAGCTTTATATAAATCACGTGTTTGTGTAATAATAATATCAAAAGTATAATTAAAATGCTTTTCACCTAATATGCATTTGTGCTCAGTAACAATGCATTTGAAATTTAATTATCAAATACACCACCACGCGCGAAAGATGATAAAAATCCAAATGTAAATGGGAAACAGCGCCTCTCTGCTTTGCAATAACATATTGTCACCTACTGCGCTCAATCTGTGCCAAAATGCTTTTGAAAATGCATTTGACCTGCTTGCATTTTCATTTTCATGGACTTCCCAGCCTGCCAATCATTCCATCAGAACAGGCTCCAAAGTATCCCAAGGCTTTATCTGAGAACATGGTCCACTTTTTCGGTCCACCTTAGACAGCGCAGCAGTTACACTCTGGTGCCTAAATGCGTCCGGATGTTACAGAAACACTGTTTAAGTGTAATGGAAAATTAGAATAAGAAGTTTAATTTCAGCTAATTTCATTTGAAATGAGAGTGGTTACTAAAAGACTTTATAGCCAGAGTAGTGGGGAGGCCCATCATACAGATTCCAGTTGATGGATATCTGATGGATATCTGGATTTGGGTCAAATGCATTTTCAAAGGCATTTTTCCACGGAATGAGGTGAGAATATGTTATAGCAAAGCAGAAAGGCTTTGTTTCCCCACTAACATTTGAATTTGGCCATTTTTCTAGGATGGTAGTGAGTTTGAAATATCATTGTGGCACCATTATTTCATAATCACGTGAAACATATTAATCTAATTTGGGAAATTTTAAGAGTAGTATATCAAATGGCAAATACAAGTGGAATTATTGAATTTTCATTTTCATTTTGAGCCCAAACTTGCATGTATGAGTTGGATATTTTAATTCAAATTTTAGATAATATTGCCATTTTGCATATTCCATTATCTTTTTTATTTAAATTTGATATTGATATGCTTCCATATTAGAGAAGCAAGACCGTAGTACAGGTAAATTACAGAAGCAAGACATTACTATAAGTGACCTACAGAAGCAAGACTGTATTACAAGTAGAGTACAGGAGCAATATTGTGGTGTCAATCCTGACTTCAGAATTGAAAATCACACCAAATCAGGAAAATCACCCTATAACCCTGTGTGCACACCAACATTTGTTAATACTTCACAGTTGTGGATTTCAGGATGGTAAAGTTTTCTAAAGGCAGGTTTAGCAGCACGTTTCCCTTCACAAATGCATGAACCCATCATTAAATACAAGAGCCAGCAAAAAATAACAAAATTCAATATGTAAATAGTTAGTTTAGATTTTTATTGATTGTCAAGTCAGAGTCTTTCTTATGTGAGCTCATGGTGGAATCCAGGGTCTGTGAGTAGAAAATGATGTACTGTTTAAAAATAAAAAAATGTAAAATATATTGACTGTGTGAACCATAGTGTTGTACCTAGCAAGGCTTCCATTAAAAATCCAAACATATCAGCAATATTAAAATTCTTTGGCATGTCACAATTACTACATTATCGCCTAATCGCAATTACTTTTTCACAGTTATGAGCTTTCACAATTGTGTTTACGTTACAACAATCTGAATATGAATTGGGTCTGTTTTCGTCAGGTGGGTTAAGGCAAATACATCGAAATATAAGAAAGCAGAAAATGCATTTATTGAGAGACATAATGGATCTCATGAAACATCTATAGAGGGCAGCGGTGAGTAACATTTGTTTATTTGATGTTTGTTAATAACGCCTTCAGAAATCGGCAGTGAGTAATGTTTGTTTATTTGATTGTTGTTAAAACTTTAGAGGGCAGCAGTGAGTAACATTTGTTTATTTTAAATTTATTAATACCACCTTTAGAGGGCGCCGATGAGTAGCGTTTTCTTTAATGTGGTGCTCATTAATAAAACCTTTAGAGGGCAACAGTGAATAATGGTTGTTTATTTGATGTTTGTTAATAACACCTTTAGAGGGTGTCGGTGAGTAATGTCTGTTTATGTGGTGTTTGTTAATAACACCTTTTGAGGGTGTCGTGCGTAACGTTTGTTTATGTGGTGTTTGTTAATAACACCTTTAGAGGGCGCCGGTGAGTAACGTTTGTTTATGTGGTGTTTGTTAATAACACCTTTAGAGGGCGTCGGTGAGTAATGTCTGTTTATGTGGTGTTTGTTAATAACACCTTTTGAGGGTGTCGTGCGTTACGTTTGTTTATGAGGTGTTTGTTAATAACACCTTTAGAGGGCGCCGGTGAGTAACGTTTGTTTATGTGGTGTTTGTTAATAACACCTTTAGAGGGCGTCGGTGAGTAATGTCTGTTTATGTGGTGTTTGTTAATAACACCTTTTGAGGGTGTCGTGCGTAACGTTTGTTTATGTGGTGTTTGTTAATAACACATTTAGAGGGCGCCGGTGAGAAACGTTTGTTTATGTGGTGTTTGTTAATAACACCTTTAGAGGGCGTCGGTGAGTAACGTCTGTTTACGTGGTGTTTGTTAATAAAACCTTTAGAGGGTGTCGGTGAGTAACGTCTGTTTATGTGGTGTTTGTTAATAAAACCTTTAGAGGGCGTCGGTGAGTAACGTCTGTTTATGTGGTGTTTGTTAATAACACCTTTAGAGGGCGTCGGTGAGTAACGTCTGTTTATGTGGTGTTTGTTAATAAAACCTTTAGAGGGTGTCGGTGAGTAACGTTTGTTTATTTCAGCATTTTTATCATTGGTTGGGAGCTACTAAGTATCAACAACAAGGTAGCAAGATAGCTAATCAAACAATTAGGGCACTTTAAGCTTCTGCTTATAATAGTAATCATACAATAAGCCCAACAAATATTTATCCTTAATCACAGTTATTTATATGGCAGTTAATCATTAGTTATAGTCCCATGTTTGTGACAGGTCTATTGTAGTAAAGATTAAGTCAGTTCATAATGACTAAAAAAAGTCATAAAGCTCTGGAGAGAATTTTGATGCTGAGGTATTTATCCAGGAATGAGGGAATGATGCCAATTGCAGCCGTCACAGCCAGAGTGAGGAGGACACATAGTATCAAGTAAAACCCTGGCAACCTGGAAAGAAACAGAGCAAATGCAGGGCTGAGAGAGAAACTATTGCTGGATGTGCAGGTGTGTTTTACAGTAACGTTCATTGAAGTTAAAAATGTCCTTCTCCTGTAAATATTCCATTGAAGGTTATGTTATTACAGCGATGACATAAAAATGGGCAACCATAAGCTATAACAGTTACAGAAAAATAGACAGACTAACCTCCAGATCCTCTTAATTATGTAATCATAAAAATATAATCGTAAAATATTCTGCAGATGTGCAGATAAACTGCCTCTTCTCAATTGTAAGCAAACAAAAACATTAAATCAGAATGTACTTTTAATGGAAACTAATAAAGGACTGAGATTCAGATTCAGTGGTGTGTCTTCTGAGCTGTTGTCATATATGGTGTTGATAATAGTATAACAAAGGTCAATCTGAAAAAAAAAATATTTTATTGGGTATTATTTTGCCTTAAACTCCCTGCTTATACCTATTTGCCACTAATATCTTAACAAAATACATTTCAGGCCAAAAATGCTGCCTCAAAACTACCGCAAAACATTGTCTCAGACATCAGGCACCATTTCAAATAATAACTTTCTGTGAAGGAGCTTTCAATTATGTCGAAATAATGGTTTATTTTTATGAGATTTTGAGTGATTTGTCAAAATAACAGCTTATTTGCAACAGGACACTTTCACAATTGCATAGTCTTATTACACCCCCAGATTATTAAACACACATATGTAGAAATGATTATAACTGACTGATATTTGAAGGTTAACACATTTTAGCATCAGTTGACACTCTTATTTGAACGCCAACAAATTGTGCTCTGACATTCGCTCAAAATCAGGCATTCATAGTTTAAACCAGGGGTGTCAAACTCAACCAGTAAAAGGGCTAAATAAAAACAATCTCATCAATCTGTGGGCCAGAGAAAAAAATGTTTTTATTTCATTTATTTCATTAATTAATGTTGTGCTGTAACCCGAACTGGCCATTGTTTATTCAAAATACGCAAAAACTTCAACTGTAAAATACAGACCCTTGTAGCAGATCTTGAAATATTACATGGACACTTGGAAGTATTCAAAATTTAAATGTCCCCAGGTGCTCAACCTTTTAAATCTACCTATTTCTACATCCTCATGCCAGGTGTCTAGTTCATTAAGCAAAGTTCATTAAGACTTGGGCTGAGCTGCTCAGCTGCTGAGCTGATGTTAAGTGTTTATTTTGGTTGAACTGCAGCTGAAATGTATTTCAGTGATATGACAAGAGTAGAATTAATTTGACCTGCTGTCCCATAGACCGTTGTTGGGGTAGGAGAGTTGGAGCACATTACGTTGCAGTGCATCCTGGGGACTGTAGTGCAGCACATTCTGAAACAGGCTAATATTAGTAGAAAATTAAAACACTTTTGGGGGCAGATAGGATTGTGTGGCCGGCCTGATTTGGCCTGCGGGTCTTCTGTTTGACACATGGGGTTTAAACCACGTATATTCATCTTGTTCATCTTGTACTTACCGTCCATCGGCAGACTTTGCGTAGCCGGTGAAATACATCTCTCTGGCTACAACATATACAAGCCCCCCTAGAGCAGCTAGAGCTGAGGAAAGACACAAGTGGATGAATATCTCAGAGCATAACAGGTCTAAGATAATAGGTATGAATTTTATGAAGCTAAAAGTGCAGTTTTCCTTCGTTAATGTCACATATTTCTGAGTGTATCAAGGAGGGTCTCTGAGCTAGCTTGGCATTTTCTCTGGATGATGGGTGGAGGAGGTGACATGATATTATTGGTTAATATTATTTCTCCCACCTGCTGGTGCTCAGTGACATAATCAAAAATGAGAAATCAATACATTTTGTGGACGAAAACAAGAAATGTGTCTTTTTAAGTATGATATGATGAATTCTGCCTAAAATGAAAGGGGTCAAGTCACAGATGATGATCCTACATCTGGCCTCATATCTTAAGTCTAATATTGTAACGTAATAAGAATGTAAGGCCAAAGTAACATTTATTTTTATTTCAAATAAAAAAATTTTTTATTTAATTTCAGCTAATTTCATTTGAAATGAGAGTGGTTGCTAAAAGACTTTATAGCCAGAGTAGTGGGGAGGCCCATCATACAGATTCCAGTTGATGGATATTTGATGGATATCTGGATTTGGGTCAAATGCATTTTCAAAGGCATTTTTCCACGGAATGAGGTGAGAATATGTTATAGCAAAGCGGAAAGGCTTTGTTTCCCCGCTAATATTTGAATTTGGCCATCTTTCTAGGATGGTAGTGAGTTTGAAATATCATTGTGGCACCATTATTTCATAATCACGTGAAACATATTAATCCAATTTGGGAAATATCAAGAGTAGTATATCAAATGGCAAATTCAAGTGGAATTATTGAATTTTCATTTTCATTTTGAGCCCAAACTTGCATGTATGAGTGGGATATTTTAATTCAAATTTCAGATAATATTGCCATTTTGCCTATTGCATAATCTTTTTCATTTAAATTTGATATTGATATGCTTCCATATTAGAGAAGCAAGACCGTAGTACAGGTAAATTACAGAAGCAAGACATTACTATAAGTGACCTACAGAAGCAAGACTGTATTACAAGTAGAGTACAGGAGCAATATTGTGGTGTCAATCCTGACTTCAGAATTGAAAATCACACCAAATCAGGAAAATCGGTGTATCATTACACCCATATAATATTGTAATCACCCTATAACCCTGTGTGCACACCAACATTTGTTAACACTTCACAGTTGTGGTAACATTTATTGTTCGTTGCAACTGTGTTTTCACATACAGCACAAAAAATATATTATTTTATGAATATTAAGTCAATTTTCTCATGAAACATTTCGAAATGAAAAAATAAGCATATAGGATTTCTAGTATTTCACCCAAGGATTGTGTTTCCAAAGCTAGTCTGATGCAACAAGCTTTCCAATATGGCACAACTTTACTTAGTCACTGATATGTAGTCGTTGATGAGACACACCTTCATTACAGAAGAGCCCAGATGTCCACAACACCACTAGGAACACTGGATAAAACTCCACTCCATTCTGGCTAGAAAAGGAGAAAGATCTGTTTTTTATGCAGCCCATCTTGCTATGAGAAAGAAAGGCTGTCCACACAAATGGCATTTATAATCATTTTAGACAAAAACCAAACAGCCATTGGTCAGCTGGTTTTGCTGGCTTTGCTGGTGACCAGCTACGCTTGTCTATGCTGGTTTTTCTAGCAAGGCAAAACAACTGGATAGTTTTGACTTACTGTGCCCGAAAGGTCCTCTCAAATTCTGGTGGTCCATTCACTGCAGGGGGCTTGATTTTATACTTCATCCTGGACCAGCCGACACGCCTTGCCTGAAACCCTGCAGGCATAAAACCATAAAACCTTTGTACAGAAGCTGCTTGTCCTGCTTTCTCGTATCAAATATGAGGTACACTTGTTCTAAACAGAACCATTTGCTTTACTAAAAACCCTTGAAGAACCATCTATTTAAGGGTGTAGGGTTGAGTTAGGGCTTCATAACACTTGCATGAAATCTACAATAAATTGTACATGATGTCTGTAATAAGAAAGAACTTCTGTGTTTCCCCAAACGTGTCTGTCTCCAATCTATAATAACTAAATGAGGCTCACTCACCCAAATGAAGAGCTGACAACAGTGACACGGCTGCTAGGAGAATGGGCTGTTCTGTGGTGGTCATTTTAGTGCTGATATGTCTCCCAGAAATCTCTCACTCTGACTGAAAATGTCTTTTCAACAGGTCAGCATTACACAACTGGACAAGTTACGGAGCAATGCGAAGCTCCTCCCACATCCAGGCGTGCAGCTTGTAGACTTCCCACTTGAAAAAAAACATAAATAAATAAAAATAAAGTTAAAAATAAATAAAAAATCCAAATACACTGTTTCATTACAAAATGCATTCATTAGTACATTTGATAACAATAAAACGTTCAAAATACACTTTGCATGCATGTATTTTCACTCACGCTCCCCAATATTACATATTAACGGTGAAGAACTGCTAAAATTACTGAGAAATATGAGCTATTACTCTCCAAAGCTTTTAAAATCAGGAGTATATAATTTAATATAATTAAAAAGTCGAAAGTTTTCAAGTTTTTTTGAGAATCGCTGATTTCTACAGTATAACTTCCGCAAATGAACTACTGTGCATGATTTGTAGATCACAGGAGCTATACAACATCCGGGTTACTCAAACGCCCGGTCAACGTGCTGTGCGGGTGACGTCAGATCGCCAGCTATGCTTTTTTTTTCGCCCCACTCATATTCCGACAAACCCACCTTCGTGTGCTACGATTGGTCCAGAACAATAAAGCTCCACCCTTCTTGAGCTGTGATTGGCTGTTTTTTTAGCCAATTAGTATTAGCGGATTAGTAGCCAGTCGCAGCGCAGGAGGGGCGGGGCTTTGTCGGAATACGGGTGAGGAAAAAAGCGAACACCGTGTGCCGTGCTGTCTCACCCAAGTTGTTTGGTATGACCAAGCAAACAGGACCGCAAGTCAGAGCGCTGCCTCGGTCTCGCAGATAGAAAATAGATAAAAACGGTAAAATAACTGACCGGCACCATGGACAGCGATGACGACAATGTGGAGGAGGTAGTGGAAGGTACGACCTGCTGATCACTATTCGCAAAACATAAAGGAGAACGGAAGTGAAGATGTTTCCACACTTTCAGTGCTCCTATTTATAGGCGGGGTGTCATGCCAACTTTTGAATGCTGTCCGTTCGCTGTGTGTCTGAGCGTGTTCCTCTGGGGCCTTGTCCTCGTGGAAGCCCCCGAAACACCGAGTTGTAGTTCACCGCGGCGTCCAGCAAGGGCTTTCCAGGCACGGGGCTGAAATGGGCTTCTCATTCACCACCTTTTGTGCGAATTCTCCCGTTCCACCTTAAATGGTGCAGCAGTTACATTCTGGCACCTCAGGCCCGAGGCTCCAGAATGTAACTGCTTGCACCATTTAAGGTGGAACGGGAAAATTCGCACAAGAAGCAGCCGAATAGAAGCCCTTTTCTGCCCTTGTCAGCCTTTGTAACCCTAAAAATCTATGTTTCAGCAGTGAATCTATGATCTATGGATTTATGAATCTGCTTTGAATCTGAATGTGCTAAATGTGTTAACCCATCTCAGAAACAATATCTCTCATGTTCTTCATCAAGTTGTCTTTGTTGACCTAAATGAGTAAAGGTTTTGGATGCTGATGGCATAAGGACATTAAAACAGTTCTAAATATAAATTAGAATTGTATTCAGTTTGTAATGTGGTCAGTCTGTAATCTGTAACAGTGTGTAATTTGGATAACAGGGTCGAACTTTGAAAATAATCTTGTTAATCAACATCACAGTATCATTAAAAAAGATAAAGAATAATAACTTTTTTTCTTTATTCCAGTGATCTTCTGGAAATTTAGAAAGTTGCAAATTCCTCCTGCCTTGTGGAATATTCCAAATATTTCATAGTGGTGAATGTGTTCAGGTGGCAGCGTTGGGTGAATGAATGTACATTTCTCATAATCTTTATTGCATGACTGACGAAAATGATGTTTTGAGCATGAGATGTTAAATGGATTGACACGTTCATGCAAAAATAATCAATTTAAAAAATATTTGAATCATTTATTGCAAGGTAAGTGTAGTTGTGGTGGACTGTGTCAGCCAGGAAATGCTGTAGAGATGTTTTATTAATGTTTTAAGTTATTTATCTGAGACATGCACATGGGTTGTTTTGATGGACACTTTATCTATGAGTTTAAAATGGCTTTTACCTTCACCATGAATATGTCAGTGAGACACAAGTGGCACCTCAGTCGTGGAATCACACCCAACCAGCTTTTAAAGTGCCTTTAAACCCATTAGTGGTTTGACTTGTGGACAGTTCAAGTGAATCTGCCAGTGTGCCTCACTATTGTTCATATTAGTGCTTTCTTGTGACCGTTAAACTCCTAGCTAACACTAGTGAACCAGTGAATGTAATGAGGTTTTGCTATTGTCGTATTGTTCTGGTCAGTCTTAAAATGTAGAGAAGGTAATACGGAGCAGGTCTTGAGAATAAGTGGATTATAGGATGACCGTTGCACAGGCTCTCAATCACATTATTCATGTATGGAGGCAATGTTACGTGACCGTTCCTAGCAGTTTAGGAGATGTAACAGTGGACATTACTGTTACTATGATATTTTCAGTAGTCAGATTTGACCTGTATGCTGTATATGTGAGTGTGAGTGTGTGTGTGGGCTTGTTGTCTATTGTGACTGACCATGTCCGAACTCCACAGGCCCACTGGATGATGACGGACTACCCCACGGTTTCTGCACCGTCACATACTCCTCCAGTGACCGTTTTGAGGGGCACTTTGTCCACGGTGAAAAGAACGGAAAAGGCAAATTCTTCTTTTTTGACGGCAGGTACAAGACAATGATATGCACTGATAATTTCCCACATGTTTGTTTTATTTTTAACGATAATCAAAGACGTGACTGCCCTGGCTTCTCAGACATGATTATGAATCATGTTTAGATGAGTCAGTGTCTTACACATGCAAGCATGCTGTCAGTGGACATCGTAGCTGTAATTGGCTTGGTGTGAGTCATAGGTGATGTGGCCAATCTGGTCAAACAAATCTTTCTTTCCTTGTTATCAGTACTCCTTACAAGCAGTTGCACTGTGTCTCTGACCATTGATGGCCATTGGAGAATCCATTTCCACATCCAATACTTGATTTTATGTTAACAGATGTTCTTTGAGATCTTTAATGCGGTTCCTCATGTTCACTCTTAGCAAAAATGGTTCTATATAGTACAAAAAAGGTTGTACACAAAAGTATCAGAACCCATTTTGCTGCTTTATAGAACCATTTTTTAAAAGGATTCGTTAAATAACAATGTACAGAAGGTTTCCCAACATAGAGAAGAACCATTTAACCATGCAGAAAGCAATTTATGCATTCAAATGGGGTCACAATTCTATAAAGAACCATGACTTTTGCCTAGGAACCCTTAAAGAACCATTTTTAAAGGTGTAGCCAAAGGCATGCATATGATAAAGTATCTTCTTCCTGATGGACTGTCCTTCTGGCCTTCTGTGGGGGTGCAAATTAAAACTTAATCTTCATCTGGTCTGTTTGTCTTTTCAGTACGCTCGAGGGTTTCTATGTGGATGACGCCCTCCAGGGACAGGGTCTGTATACGTATGAGGATGGTGGAGCGCTGCACGGGACATATGTGGATGGAGAACTTAACGGGCCTGCTCAGGAGTTTGACACGGATGGTCGTCTGGTCTTCAAGGGCCAGTACAAGGACAACATTCGGTGTGGTATCTGCTGGGTCTACTACCCGGTACGTTTCTTTGTGTCCTCATGCGGGTTTAGTAGAGCTTTTGTTTCAGGTGAAAGTTATATACACATGTATGGATTTTGTCCAGAGCAGTGGTCAGTAACACTGGTCATGGAGATCTACCTTCCTGTGAAAAGTAGTCCAAACCCTTCAAATTAACTTCTTCAGAGGTCCTTAATTGGCTGGATCAGATGCGTTAGTGTAGGTATGGGGTGGGGGCAGCATATAAGATGCAGGTTCTGCAGAAAAGTAGATCTCCTTAAGGGGTGTTGGTGACCGCTGGTCCTGAGGATCTGGGAAAAGCACATCAGATGTCCTGAATTCAGTAAAATTGACTGACCATCTCAGATTACCCTAATATGGAAAATAATGCAATTGTTCCTGATAGTTTGCCAGATTTGGGGCTTGTATCTTCATTCACCTAATGTGATTCAGTATGAAGATATAGGGGGTCAAAGTTGCACTATTTCTGTATTTTTCACAAGCCATAAAATTCACGAGAGCAAGATGTTAGAGTGTCTGAGGAGTTTTGTTGCTTGACATGACCAAGAACTGCCTACTTAGACAGGAAAGAGCCAGACTGACAAGAAAACAACTAATCACAAACAGATGTCTTTGTAGATACTGGGGCAGGCAACTTTTAAAACAGAGCTACAAGAAAAACACACCAGCAGGGAACAAAGTGGTGTGCACATCCAAAAACACACAAGGATGTCTCATTTAGGAGCCACTAAATTCTTTAAAGAAATCTCAAATAAATTGAATAACTTTTAAAGATGTGATGACATGAAATTCACTAACATTTTTTTAGTCCATCTTGCTCTAAAATATTCATAGTTGTGTGCAAAGCGAGTGACCACTGGTAAATGTTTGTTTCTCAATGGACAAATAGCCAGTTAGAATGGCCGGCTTAACGTGCAATAGATATGAAACAAGCATCTCTACATTTTCTAGTTTTCGTAGTAAAACACACCTTAAACCAGAAAATAATCCCTGCGACAAGCATTGATAGTGAAAAGTAGTGAATTACCAAAGTTTGCACTATGGATGGTCGATATGTTGAAAATATAATATAATATTTAATTTTATACACTTAATATGTTTATAATATTATATTTACACAATACACAATATGTCACAATATTTTGTTTTTCTGAGCTTTATAACCTTAGAGGCTTAGAACAGACAAAAATAGATTCAGTAGTGCCACATTTAAGAAATACTATTAAAAACAGTGCAAATCATTTATATTCAACATTTTACATATTGCACCACACATAATCGAATTAAACAGGACCAATTATACTTAATTTATAATGAGACTTAAATTGGTCAGTCCTTTAAGGCTACTGATGATATCTATGATATGCTTAAAGCATTGTGTGGCAAATTTTGATGTGATTTATCACAGCAATGAGATATATATATATATATATATATAATGTG